TTTTAGTGGTGCAAAGGCATCCATAAAGCTGTCTTCAGAATCGCTGAGAGGAAGGATCAATTCCTTTCATAATAAGTTGGCCTCGGAGCAGCTGCATTTCAGGGAGGAGCGCTCCGCCAATCTCTTAATCGTCTTAACCCGACCATAGCCAGATCGCAGAAAAATGCTAGACTGGAGCCTGCGTGGCCCCCGCCAGTCGGCTTTGACTCCAAAATGGATGTGTTGAAGCCGAAGGTTACCCAACTGCTACTCAATGTCATCGGGGCCTGTCGATCGATCAGTGAGTGTTTTCTTACTGAGTCAGCACGACAGTCTTGGAGAAATGACAAGCCTGTGCTGCGCAGTTCAGCAAAGACGTCGGCCTAGCTGGTCCTTGGCTGACCTTGATCAATGTGCGGTGCCCTGGGGATGAGGATGTCTGGGGCGAGGTCCCGAAAGCAAGTTGCTGAGGTTCTGCAAACCATCGGTGTCAGCGGAGACCTAATTGACGGCATCCCTGTGCAGAACAAGCGGGCGCCTCTGAGTCCCTCTAAGGTAAGACGGGCAAGACTCAGGCTAAGCTGCTTGTTTGTTGGAAGGTGTAAGAGGGGTTAGGGTCAGACGTGAGTACTGGACGGCCGGCACATGATGAACTAAGCCATTAGCTAATCAATTGCGACCTCGTTAGTTTTGCGACAATCCAGCAACAAGGTGGATCAACATCGTTCGTGACAACCTTGATGACTTCCAGAAGCAGGATCCAGAGCAAGGCACCGATCACTCCCAGCAGCCAGGGGAGTGGGCCTTGTGCTGGGATGAGTTCTAGTCCCATCCAAACTGTTGCACTCCGCTGCTGTGAAATAAGCTGTAGTGGCTGGTTCCAGGGCAGCGGCAAGCGGGGGACCTCATGCAGAACATGATCATGGGCCGAATGGAAAGGACTTTGCGGTTGGCGAATGCTTGGCATGTCTTGGACCGTGACAGCCAAGTTGCTGGAAAGAAAAGGGATACTGATGGACACTGTACGCGGCGTTGGTTCCCTGAAGCCATGATAATTTTGTCTTTGACGGCCGAATGACTCCCCCTTAGTTTTTGTTGTTTTCTTTTTTTTTGCTGGTTCCGAGATCCTGGGATTCCAGCGCAGGATCACCGGTGCACCTATGCCGGTGTTTCTGGAAGGTTATGGAGAAAGCGAAGGAATTTACAAGATTGCCACGCGCCTAGCTCAAGGCCTAGACTCAGTAACCAGTGAAATTGATGTAGGACAGTGAACATGTCATCAGTGGACACAACTCTCTGTCCGGGTGTTTTTGTTGGAGCCCAATGGGAGCAGGAACCATACTGCGTGAAGTCATGCAGAGCAAAACAGAGACACCCAACAAGGCAAAGTCGCAGAGTAACAAATCAGGGATTTTCGGGCGGTGGCGGAGAGGGAACGTGAGCCGTGCAGAAGATCATGTCTGTAAGGCTTACGAGTGCCATTGTCATTCCAGGTAGATTTTCTAAACATGTCGCTAAACGGAATCTCATAGTTAACTTCAAAATTGCGCTGACACATTGCAAGGTGATTGGGCCCCGGTCAGTGGTGGTCGTTTCGGATCCTGTGGTGGTCAAGCGCATCCTGACGAGCTCGCCGGAGTGGGGGATGCGTTCAGGGTGCAAGTTTTGGGGAGAAGGATGCTTCTCTGTTGATGTTGCAGATGCAGGGCCCACACCTTCCAGCAACACCACGTGTTTTGCCAGCCGAAGATGACACAATCTAGGAAGACCAAGTATGTGCAAAGCCATGACCTTGCTTGCAGATGTAGACAGCTTGTCGGATACTGGTCCAGGTCACCTGGAAACTCGAGAAATGCATCCGCCTCTGCTCGACAGTCAAATGGCCTGCCCTGCGTAGTAGGTTTGAACTCTATCTGAAATCGCATGGCATGCAGCGTTGCATAGAGCATACGCACCAATATGCGTCGCTGAGTCCTGTCTGTAACGCCTTCGGTTGGCCATAAGATGCCTAGATTAACTGGACAGAGGGGCAGACTTCTTCTTTGATTTGGCCTTGCCATGGAAAAGCTGCCCAGTGACGAGGTCGCTGACACGCAAGTAACCATAGATGATGATGGTACTATGTGGGGTGAGGATGAGTTTGGACGCTACAGGATTGACAACAGAGTCTGGACCATGAACGAAATTCGGGATCATCCGCTCTTCATGACTGACGTCCCATCAGATCCGCGTGACATTGACAACTATCCACTTCTGACAGCTTTGCAGAGTGTTTTGTACGATGATCAGACCCCTGAGGAATTAGCAGAGCATTTTCGCAAGCAGGGAAACGAGGCCATGAAGTTTCAAGCTTCAAAGATTGCGCTGCAGAATGCCCTGACATTCTACACAAAGGGTTTGGAGATGGAGTGCAAGGATGATAAGCTGAACTCTGTGTTGCATTCAAACCGGGCGGCAGTCGGCCTGAAGCTGGGAGAGCACCTGAAGGTTGTGGACGATTGTCGTTCTGCCGTACGGTTGGACCCGCAGAATCTGAAGGCTTGGTTCCGAGGCGCCCAGGCTTCCGAGGCCTTGGGCCTTGCTGAGCAGGGCCTTACCTTTTGCCGCGGTGCTCTTCGTATCGAGCCCAAGGAGCCTGAAGTGCTTCGCATTCAAAAGCAACTGCAAGAGCTCCTCAGGAAGCAACAGAGGGCTCAGCAGGAAATGCGCCTGGAAGATGCGAAGGTGAAAGATGCCATGCAAGCAAACGCTTCTGCCGTGAAGAATGCCCTTGAGCTTCGCGGATCTCGTTTGGGGCCCTCACTCTTCGATTTGGCCATGTACCGCATGGCAAACGGTGGAATCACTCCTCATCCGAAGCTAGTCGATACAGATGATGGTCCGACAATTGAATGGCCCTTACTCTTGCTGTACGATGAGGTCAATCAATCTGATTTTGTTGCGTCCTTCAATGAAAGACATGCTTTGGAAGATCAGCTACAGCTAATGTTTCCAGAGGATCGATCCGTGGAGTGGGATACGCAGGGGAAGTATGTTTGGCACAAGCTCGCCGTCTACTTGGAGTTTTACCCAGAAGGTAGTGAAGAAACCTCCATGTTCAAAGTCGACTGCAGTGCTGCAGTCGTGACGCTTTTGGCAGAGCGATGCTTGCCGCCTTGTTTGGTCTTCCACGTTTTGGTGGAAGACTCCCCGGCCCAAGCTGCGTTCTTGAAAGACAACCAGATCGAATAACATGCCCCAAAAAGAGGCATGCCGATGGGCTTTCGCGTCTGTAATTGTTGGTACATGTCTATAACATGTTGAGACTGCAGGGAACGCTTCTATCTAATTTTTTCTCGTTGCGATTGTTTTGCGGCTTGCACATAAAGCAGGAGCTCTACACCAAAGGGATCCTCACGGAAGTCTTGGAGCCCATCATGGGTTGCAAGCTTAGGATTTGCTGGTCGGATCGAACTCAGGCTTTCCTGAAGTCTGTTTAGCGGAGCCTCCAATTCCTCAGAGCTTAGGCCGCGGGCTCATCCCCGCCGACCCTGAGACCTGGAGGCCTTTAGGACAATTGTCCACCTTGACCCAAGCGAAAGTTCTTGGCTTTTGGTTTGGGTGAAAGGCAGCGCCGCAGGGCAATCGTCCCTGGCTTTCACAAGAAATGGCTGAAGGACTTTCCCAAGTTTGCCAAGGGATTAGCGGTGTAAGACATCACCGATGAACCTGAGACGTCTCCGCCCGTGAGGATGCGACTGAGCAGATGGTGGAGTGCGCAGTGCGCGGGTCATGCTTGATGCAAGCCCAGTACGTGCACCCATAGCCAGGAAGTGTAGGCATCTGATGGCCAAACGTCCTCTCAGATCTTTGTGCTGGTGACCTCCGACGCCAACTCTTGGGAAGATTCTTTAGGGTTCCTGTAGGTCTATACGTGTATACGGGAAGATATGGGGGACCGTTATTTGTCAGAATGGCCATTTGGGGACCAGGAATTCTGATCAGCTACAATATTCATTTTAGGGTTTGTATGAGATGGTGCGTGTGATGGTGCAGTGCCAGTTTTGGCCAGGTGAACCTCGCTGATGACGTGGAACGCTCGATTTCCATGTCCTCCTCGAAGGTGGCCGAGGCACCACGTGTTTCAGAACCCTCGTGGGTCTGCCTCAGCCACAGCAAATTCAGGTCAGGCTGCTTTTGATGCCACAGGTGGTGCCCAGTGACAGGATATGGGTGGGAGATGCAAAGAGATGGAGTTGCTAAAGAAGGGTTGCAAAAGGAAGGACGGCAAAGGATGGGCGGTTGCAGAAGGCTGAGATTCAGAGTTGTTCTTCCAAGTCCGGCAAAACGCAGAATGCGCGGTCAGCATGAAGACGTCGCAACTTTTAGTAGTACTTGTGTAGCATTCTGAGTTGTTGAAGTCCATAACCGCGCACGTCCGTTGGGAATATTCTTGGTTTGGGCAAGGATCGTAAAGCATCACCCAACGCAGTGATTTTGTGGCTTTACCTAGACCATGCACCGGTCCCAGTGTTTGCAATGCGATGAGTCTAACAGGTCAACATGGAGGAGAAGTTCACCTCTGCTTCCCTCGACATCATTGGCAAGGCAGCTCACATTTCGCTTCTGACTCGGTGCTCCTAGGCTGTTAATCCCGGTGGGCCCATGCCACCATGAGCCAAAATGACGCTTTCCAAAGTCGACTTCAAGATCAGTCAAGTTGATTTGGTTCTGTTACAGGGCAGAACCCAAAGGCTCTGCACAATCTCGGGCCTTCCATACCCTGTGCCACATGATGTGTGTATCAAACATGTTTCTCAAGAAAAATAATAATGCCGAGCTGCACAGGCTGGTTCTTGCTGTGGTGCGCTGATGTGCGCTGAAGAGACCCTAAACACCAAACTCTCGCCATTTCTGCTTACCCACGTGTGCTGCCATCGTCAGCAAGGGAGATCTCGGAACGTACCTGTCCCAAGTCGCCTCCGTGACACCAACCCCTGCCCCGACAGCCAAAAAATCGGCGCATTCTCAGCTCGTGTGACTGTGAGCCATCTCATGTGAGCCATACGGACCCCAAACCAAGCGGCAGCCTGTGGTTCAAATTGCTCATTGAACATGTCGCGTCGTGCTGGGAATGGAGCAGCCACCTCAAAGTGATGGCAGCGTCCTTGACACTTGCTCCGTGCATGTGACGTCCCAACCTTGCCCACTTCAGGCCACAGTGACCGCGCGCGTAGCCTGTGAGAGTTAATTTTCCTGTGCTTCTGAAAAGCTACTGGTGATGTATATTATTGCAGGTGACAATAGCAGCATCGTGAGCAGCAGCCAAAGAAACTTCTGCGATGTCCAATTTTGTCTTAGCAAGCACACCACGCAGAAGGAAATCCGGATTACATACTTGAGCCCACAGGCATTGGAAATGGTCAAAGCACCAGGACAGAAGCATCATCGGTTAGGACACTGTTGCCTGGAGTCAGCTGGACCAGGTCTGCGTCATGCCTGTCTGCCAATAAGGGATTCTTGTTAGATTCTTTAAAGCTGGCATTGTTATACTTAGAATAACGGTCGCGTTTACAAACAAAACCCTTTGAGTGGTGCTTTGGTCCTCTGCTTTCCTTGCAATGCTGTGTGTCCCGGCAACAGTCAAATGGGCTGAGCACGAAGCTTCCACCTGGATCTGCAGGCCATCTTCCACTATGACTTCGGCTCAACGACGTGTGATTCTTGGAGCTGTCCTGTTCCTGTGTCTGTCTCTGACCCAGGATCTCTCCCACTGGGCGGGCACGAAGATTCGGAACCTACTTTAGCCGAAGATCATCAGGAATTGGATGCCATGTGCAATCCTTTCATTGTTGTCATATGCTAAGTCAACGATTGCAAGCTATCTCGTGATCAAAGGTCGTATCGGTTTCACCGCTGTGTAGGAGCGGTGCCCTTCAGCTGCCTCTCGGCCCTTCGGGATTACTCAGGCACGAGTCGCCCCTTATCCGCGCCGTCTACAACCTTCTGCGAGAGGCGGAGCGACGTGCCCAGTCGGCCAGGAACTGAGCGATCGAGAACTTCTTCAGTGCTTGTGACAGGTTGCAAGACGTTCTGCAAAGGTCGTGCCGTACTGGAATCTACCGGGTGCCTCAGCTGGGTCCTCAGTGGTGCCTAGTGAGAGCAATCAAGAGGTTTTGCGACCGTTGGCAGAGTGACCCATGCTATCTGCTTTGAGGCCGTGTTTCGAGACCAGAAGGATCACAGCGAAAACTTGGTGCGCCGCAAAGTGTGTGTGGATCTTCGTCATGGACCTGAATATTTGAGCTGCGATGTGCCAAACAATCCTTGGTGATATGTACTTAGACGGCAGCATGATTAGTTCCTGTCAGTTTGCGGCATGCCAATGCGGCTCTGTGACCTCCATGTTTTGTTCTGTTTCTTTCGGTCCTGCTTTGTTAGGATCAGCCAGTCAGAGTGATTGCATGCGATCGTCATTTTTCTGTGTTCGCTACCTGGAGACGAGAACGCGTCTAGCTGAGCTGCGCCATTTGATGTCTTGGCCTCCACTGAATCTTCATGCAGGCGTTGGTCAACGCTGTGCTCGATGAGCTCATTCGAAACGCTCTAGAGGATGAAGATGGATGAAGCAGACTTTCATTCTGCTTTCGGGCAACCTCGCATGAAGCCTGTTCACAGGACCCTCCATCAGAGGACCAAAAGCTGTCCTTCCTCCAGTTTCTGGTCATCACCAAGGGAGAGGATGTGACCACAAGGCTTGGATGAGCAGTTTGTCAAGTCTTCTGCAAGCGTAGCTTGCAATTTGCCTTGCCAAAAAGTGAAGTAACTCGATTTGCAACTAAGCTTTGCTTTCCGGTAGCTGCTTGCTTTGCAAGTCAATACAGCGCAGCTTTGGTTTGGCTCTGCGCTGATAAATGCGCGACTTGGACTTATAGCTGGGGCTTGGCGTGACTCTGCGATTTTGGACGAGTCGTCAGGCACAGAGACGTTGCCTGTACGCTAACAAAACCTCCAGGCTGTCACTCTCCGCCAGACGCGCGCAATGTAGTTTTGGAACAACAACATTTTGTACCCGTGCTGCTAGCAAAAAGTCGTAGCAAGCCCTTGTAATGTGCCCACTCAGAGCCATGTCATGATTAGCCATGGCATGCAGCAGCCAAGCAGCCAAGCATTCATTTTGCAAGTTCAGCGCCTATCGGCACAGTGCAGACTCCAAAAGCATCGTTGAAAGTAGAGCACAGCCCACCAATCTTCAACAATCGTCTACAAGCCTAGCCTTTGGCCTTGAATTCACCCCCACTTGCCCCTTGGCGATCATGTGGGCGAAGAATCCGTTTATTCGGGTTGCTGGGGCCTCAAGCATGGGAGGGACCAGTGGGCAATGCCGGCTGCAGACCTACCTTTGCACAAGATCCAAGCACTTCCTGATTGAACAAGGCATCTGCTGTTCCAGTACTGCTCATCCTGTTCATCTTCGGATTTGAGTGGTGCTTTGCTCAGATGGTCTCGTGCCTCTTGCAACCACGAGCAGCCGAACCTCAATTTGATGTGATCCTGCCATCAGGTATGCGTTCAACTGCGTCTTCGTTTTGCACGGGCAACTGGCTCAGAGTCATCCAACCCGTACAGTTGCACCAGAAGTTGTGTTGTGATCTTCACGCTGGCAACATTTTGGCATGTTGGAGAATCATGCCGCTCACACTCCCTGTAAAGTTGGCCTGCGGGCCTTGAACATCGTCAATAATGTGTCCCCAAGCCAAGACTACACCTGAGACTCAGGGAGGTTATGACGACCCTGAAATACTGCATGTCCTGGAAATTTCGCGGCAAGTCCTTGTCCACCAATATACCAGCCACGGTTCCTGCAAGTGGATTGTGCGCTCGTAGATGGCTGGCAGACCATGATGCGTTTGTGCCATTTAGGAGCTGGCAGTGTGATGGTCACGGCTGAGCTTGCGATGCGCATGACAGACTGTCTACAGAGATTTTTCCGGGATGGCAGTTTCAGGTGAATTTTCCGAGTCCCTGAACCAGGTGGTATCAGGTGGTTCCTTGATGTGGTCATTTCGTTGAAGCTGCATTTCGCTGCAGTTCTGCACTGTGTTGAACTGGACGTTTGTTGAATGAGCAAGGCGCTGCTGTTACTTTTGACCGGTTTGCCGCCTTCTGAAGATTCTGAAGATTTTTTTGCGCCATAGCCCGGCGAGCAGTGTTTGTCGATTGCATTTAAGTTCAAATCTGGCTTGACGGGGCCGTGACTAGACTACTAGGCCATCGGGTCCTTGCTGAATTGTCGGTCCCGTCCACCAATATACCAGCCACGGTTCCTGCAAGTGGATTGTGCGCTCGTAGATGGCTGGCAGACCATGATGCGTTTGTGGCATTTAGGAGCTGGCAGTGTGATGGTCACGGCTGAGCTTGCGATGCGCATGACAGACTGTCTACAGAGATTTTTCCGGGATGGCAGTTCCAGGTGAATTTTCCGAGTCCCTGAACCAGGTGGTATCAGGTGGTTCCTTGATGTGGTCATTTCGTTGAAGCTGCATTTCGCTGCAGTTCTGCACTGTGTTTAACTTTGCCAGCCACGCTCCCTTCATGTGAATTGTGCAGCCGCAGCATTGTTTCTGAATATTTGTAGGAAAGTCCCAAGCTCGTCTTCGAATAAGATGATGCAGTGCAGCGGTTGAGCAGCTATTCATGCTGCAGTGCTGCATCCAGTAATGGGGGCTCGCTAGTACCTTGAAGTGGCTCTGTTACACGCTTCCTGGGCTTTTTTGCGTCAGGCTGGGGCGTTGGCAAGGGGAGTCACAACTTCTTGCTTTTGCCGACGCCTTAGACGACCTCTCTGTGTGCGGAGAGCTATAAACTACAAAGGTTGCTTATGCGGAGACTAAGGCAACTCTCATCTTCTAAGCAGAGCACACGGAGTATCCAGATCTGCCCCAGTAGAGCCCGCTTCATGCAGGTCCGCGTCTTCGTTTTCAACGCGACCTGGCTACTTGCATTGTATGGGGCCAAGCAGTGAACAAAAAGAGCACTCATTTGGCAGCGACATCAAGCTGAGCAGCACCTGTCTTGCAATGGAGGAAGCGAAACCTGTCGGGCTCTGAAGGTGGTCTTTCCTGCGCTGTGCTCTGTCTGACCCGGGCTTTGTGCCATCCTGGCTGTGCGCTTAGCATTGCTGTTTATACTTTCAAAGGAAGACTCATCCAGTGTTCGAGCTGAGAGTTCTTGCTTGGGATTTGCATCAAGTGTGTGCCAGCAGCTACCGTGTACACTGGCTAAGAGTGTGTAGGCTTCACAGCGCTTAGAGTTATAGTGATATTCAAGATTTGGGTAGATGCCAAGCCCGAAGAATGGCGGGCCTAGCTTGGAGACCTCTTACTTCACATGTTCTTTTCCTTGCGTCCTTGCATCATGTCATGAAGTAGTGTCGTGCAAGTGATTGTTTTCAAAAAGTATTGCATGGCTCTGGCCGATATGTTTTGGCAGTCAGTTCAGGTGGTTAGAACAGCAAGAGCGCTGTCCTGTCCGCTTCTCAGCAAGAGCTTTGCGTGACGCCTATAAGTTCCTGAGTTGCGCATTTGCTATGCTCGTATCTCTTGACAGTTGGTGAAGCGCTAACCCCACAATATTGCAGCTCCGGGTTCATGTACCACCTGTCACATTCAGAAGTCGGACCTGTTGGAGCTGACACGCCATCTCTAGCCAAAGGCCAATCTGACCCGAGCCAGGAAGCCACTGGAAATTCCTTTTTCGGCTGGCAGCCCGGGCCGTTCCGACCCAGTTAGGCGATGTTAGGCGTAGGTTGGAGTTGTTTGGCAAGGCGGCGGACCGTCTGAGAAATTATGTGCTGATGCCACTGGATGATGCCAGGAAGCCGACCAACTGCCACAAGTGCAATGAGAGAAGACCTGAAAGCCCGGAGCTTAGGCCTCGTTTGAGGAGTGCAACGTGCTTCATGCTCACGTTTGAATGAACGTAAAAATTCAGGAGCACACCATTGCAGTGTTTGTGGCAAATGCGTTATGCGCATGGTCAGGGACTTAGACGTGGACTGCCTATTGGGCGTGATGTCTCTGTGTTCGATGAAGCTCCATCCGTGCAGGACCACCACTGCCCCTGGGTTGGCAACTGCAGCCCGGCAGCACTTGTAAAGCCGCTGCCGAATGACAATGCACACTGCAATGCACTGCAGAGAGGTCTAACTAGTGCTTGCTGACCTGCAGGTGTTGGTGCAAAGAACCATAAGTGGGCGCCCAAGACAGCACTTGCACGCAAGTGCTCTTGGCCTGCGTTGCAGACAGTTGGTTCCTGACAGCTGAGATACTTCATCCTCATGCTGGTTTACGGCATGGCAGCTGCGCTATCATATGCCACGTCCTCATCGGCTTTCTCAGTTTCCCGTCTATGCCGTATCTCGCACTCAGAATGAATCTGTGCGCGGTTGCTGTTTGGGAGTTTTGGCACGTACAGGTCACAGCAGCCCGGCCCATCATTGTGTCGTTGTTCGTCCCGAAGAGCCGCGGAGGACTCAGGGGCATCCATGTCATTGCGGCTTTCATGCTCGAATCGGTAGGTCGTTCTAGTAGTGCCGCATGACTGTCCCTTTGGGTGTGATGGTCTGCTCCGTGGCTTTTAGCTAATGGTTGTGAGTGGGCATGAAGCGCCGGTGCTCTTCCCTGCTGCCTAAGTACACACTGTGTACCTGTATTATATGGGATTTTGATGTCGGATATGGGTATTTGGGGGCAGAGATGGGTAGAGGGATCCTTTATTTATTGTGACGGATCCTGGAACTCCGCACTAGGCTGGATGGAGCGGAAATGCAACTGACTCTCCTCCAGGCATGATTGACGCTCTTTCGTCTGACCTTCCAAAGCTGGGCCTGCTAATTCAACCCGTTCTTTTTCTCGGGGCAGGAATATTCAAGGTTAGTGGCGAATTGATGTATTGTCGCATTGGTGTGCGTGGCCAGCGATTGCCGTTCTCAGCATTGATGCCCTGCGGCTTGGCCACTTGTGCTTTTTTGATGCTTGCGTCTCCTTTCAAGCTTCTGATCTCCGTATGGAGGATTGTTGGTAGTGTTGGTGGTGGTGGTGGTGGCGACGGCGGCGGTGGCGGCGGCCACGGCATTTTCCGCCTGCCGTGTGCCGTGCTGCGATCTGTCAAGTTTTGCCGCAACAGCCTGTGCACACGGCAAATCGGTCTCTTCCCGCAACACTTGTCCTCAGGTGCAATCCCACAGAGGGGATGTTTCTGGATGCAAGCCCAGCTCCAGACAAGTGGCACTGCCCAGGCTCCTTCACACGCGGCTCAATGGGTGCCGGCGGTACCGGGCCAAGTATTTGCCTGAAGGCAAGCCCACGCAGATAGATAATCGCCAGAGTAGCAATGGCAAACGAAACACAGGCCATGCTAAGCTGGGTCATGAAATCCAGCCTGATTCACTTGAGTCACTTGAATGTAGCAGTTGTCGACAACCTCCCCTGCAAGCAGAGCCTTACAAGCGAACTCTGGAATTTGTCCAAGGTTTTGGCATATTCAGCATGGGTGCCATCTTGGCTGCCTCGCTATGTCGGATGCTAAGGGAGATGGCAACCAACGCCGACAGAAACACCCGCCATACATGAAGTTGCTTCTGCCACCTTGTGCCCATCTGCAGGTCTAGCCATGTCTTTGCTGTTCTTTTCCCATTTGTGGCGCCCTGGCTGCATTTCTGGGATATGCGCCTCTGCCGCTTTTTTATCTGCCTGCGAGGCTGATGGCGGTGAATCGCACCTCCATCGAAGTTGCCTATTCTGGCAGGACTTCTTCCGTGTGAAAATGCGATAGTTGAAAGTAGCGCCAGGGAGGCACATCGAGTGGGAGCGCCACTTGAGGAATCCCTACAGCCTGGGCATATTCCGTAACGCTCGGGCCCAAGCAGCGTTTGACTAACAGATTATTAGCAGGACCGGCGTTTGCTATTAAGCCTCCGCGTAAGCCCGTTGCAGCCGCGGGGGTAGGCGTTAAAGCTGGTCAGGCTCAACAACTTTGCGGACGCTGCGGTACCTGCCTCAAGCAGACGGAGCTTGTTAAGTTATGCTTTGGGAACAGCTTTTAAATTTTGTGCAGATGCAAGAGCAAAGAAGTCTGACCGGCAGGCATCGATTGGCTTCTGCCAGTAAAGCCGCACCAGCGTGACCCTCAAGTTCCTACATGGGGCCCCACATGCCCTTCTGGTCATTCACTTCGAATCATGGACGCCTGCTTGGCTTGGCATGCTGCCAGAAGTGTAAGGCCGCTGACCGACGGTTGTGCGTATCCTGTATTCTCTGTGCGGTGCTTGACTGTTCTTGAAATGCGATTGAATGACGATGCAGGTAGTTTACGCGCTACTGTGACCAAAAGATACCCAAATAGCTTCGGTACCATTGTTGTGTCGTAGCCCGTCGTAGCCCATGCTTTAGTGACATGTTGATTGTGAGCATGACTAAGGATTACGAGGCTGAGCTCAGTGACGTGTGAGGCAGTTGATTTCCTGCGGAAGCAGATCATCATCCAGATGCCAACTCTTTATGTAGATAGATAGCCAGCTTTAGCCTAGTGTTGACTGCCAAAGACGCACAACACCTGCAGTGCAGCGCAAAAGGCCGCCGGTGCCCAATCCAACATCTGTGCTTCTTTGGAAAGCACACGAGATGTGAATCAGTTTAGGGTCAGGTAAATGCTTTGAAGTTTACACGATCGTGAGTCGCTTTCAGGCAACTACGTGATGACTTGATGACGCTGCTCATCGCTGGTCACGAAACTTGACATCATGAAGTTCCGAGTCACATCTTCTTGTAGCAAGGCTTCAGGTTTTGAGTGCCCAATATGCTGTGTGACTGCAGAAGTTGAGACGAAGCGCTGCATCACATGCTGCAAATTCATGCAATTGTTCGCTAGAGCTGTTTGGTGCCATTCTGAAAGCCCAAGGAAACGACTGCAGCCATGCTGACTTGGGTGGGGCGCTGAGATGCTCCACAAAGCCTCCCCTTTCATCATACAACCCTCCAAGCCATTCAAAGAGGATCGGACTCTAGCTAATGATGTGCTTGTCAGAGACTCTCAGTTGACCATGCGCACGGGTGCTGAGACCCTCTTTGAGCTCGTGAAGCCTGAGAATGCGCATTTCTTGCGTGAAGTACAGGAGGAGGCACGCAAGCTTTTGCCTGGCTCCTCAGGATCGCTGTGTGACGCATAAGGCCTTTGGCATATTGATTTCTGGTTTGCTGCAAGTTTTGTTTACGGACGCGCAGGTTGACAGTGTCCTTCAGGGGCGAAATCCAACCTTTGAGGACGGCTGACTTGCCTGCAGCGCAGTTCTGTGCCGAATGAGCTGCGCGTTTTGTGAGACGTTCGCAGTTCTTGATTTTTAGGAGCTGACCCAGCTGCCTGCGCTCCGTGCTTGTCTCATCGAGGCATTAAGGCCTGCGGAAAGTTCCAGCAAGCAAGCACACGGTAAAGACCAAATCAGCACCAGCTTTGTGGCATACCAGGCTCTATCCAGAGCCCCCCTTGCTGATTCGCCGCTGCATTGCTGGAGACGACGTGCCGGTGGGCTTGGACCTCAATGCCGAAAAATATGCACAGTCAGGTCAGCTTGTAAAGCTTGATGCCTTGTTCAAATATTTGGCATGCTGCTAATCAGCTTTGAGGACCTTTGTGTACCGACGTTCGCTCCGAGACGGTGTCTTTCCTGCCCGGGCAGGCGCATGTTCTTAAGACAATAATGATTGATCAGTCTCATGAGAAGCCAGTCGCAAGCGGAGTGCTGTGCAAGTGGCTGCAGACGCCTTCGGAAGAAGTGGCACAAGACCTCAAGCCGTCCTCATTTCTTTAGAAATCGCCACATTCCCATGGCACGATTTTGCACTTATAGCCTTTGAACCATTAGGAGCAGTTGTAGGTTCGATTACGACATAATTATCTTGTTTAAGCGAAAACGAGGTGTTCATCCAGTTGCTCGTACATCTTCTCGGGAGCAGGAATTTTATAAATCAGGCTGCTGCAGGTGCCATGAGTTTCAACGTAAGCCTTTAGCCCAAGCAACCATCTGCTACCACAGCCCTGCAACTGTGTCAACATAGCCGTTAATTACTGGGTGCGCCAGTGCCTCTTGTTGCCTGCACTTTCGGCCGCAGGACATCTTCATCTCAACATGGTCGCTGCAGCGCTCTGAAACCTTGTGGGGCAAGGCTGGGAAACACCGCGCGCACGGAGGCCCAAGCAATTTGCGTCCCTCTCTTGATCAGGATGCAAACTCTTTCAACCCGCATCGCTGGAAGGAGCTTGCCCTAAAGCTTTACAATGCTGGGTGCAAGCAGCCTGTAGCCGTGACTGCAGGAGAAGGTGAATGGGAATGGCCTCTGGCAGGGCTACTCGCCAGAGAAGGCCGCCAGTCTTTTCATCCAAAGCAGAGAGCTCTGAAAGACCTGGATGCATCCTGTTTGTGCCCTGCACGAGTCTTCCGTCTACCCGGACGAGAGGGTACACTGACTCAGCATGACCTCAGCAGTGGCAGCAGCCAAGCAGACTGCACAAACTGAGTGAAATGACTCATTCGATACAACCGCATCTTTTTTGCAACGAGGCCTCTGACTATGCATTTTTGCCGTTCGGCGCCGGCTCGCAGCAAGCCCAGGCATGCCATGCCTAGTCCCGTTGCGCATTCAACGTGCTTTGTTCAGCATACTGCCTGGTAGAGGCTGAGGGCGTGGAGTGAGGTTGAGGCTTGCATGGTAACTCTTTGGATGACAGCGGCGCGAAAGTATGGAACAACAATGGGCTGCTCTCATACGACTCACCATTGAAGTGCACGCCAAGAGGTGATACTGCTTCTGATCTCATCAGAGCCCTCCTGCAAAAAGCACACATGTCCAACAGGGTCTGTGTGGGAACCGTTTTCTTGGATGCGTTCGCTTTGTTTTTAGGGCAACAAGGATAGTCAGGCCTTATAGGCAGAATGTCAAAATATCAGAAGAGAGTGAACGCTTCCAGTCGGGCACAGAATTCTTTCGAGAGGCTCCGGCCTGTTTTCTCTTGCAGTTGTTGATTATTTTGACGTGGGTGATGGTGGGTGGGTTGTGCATAATGAAGGGCAAGCTCAGGATCTTTTGCAATGAGCACTTGTTCTCTCAGCATACTGCGCACTTACTAAGGCGAAAATGCGTTGGAGACAACTTTGCGCTCCTTGAGGCAGAGGTGGGCACTAAACGTTAGGTGGCTGAGTGGCCTCCAGGAAGCGAAACCCCTGCAAGGTGTTTTACAGGGATTTACAGGGGAATAGAAAAATGCAAACTGCTAGGTGCTTTAGGGTATAGGGTTCAGGGCTGACTGTGACATAGATATCCGCTAACAATTGACTCTTTTATCAGGGGGTGGGGAGATCCGTGGCCTAGATGGTTCCATAATCCGAGAGGCCGTGCTGGTCGCCCTCGTCCAGCGCTTTGACTTCAAGGTGCAGAACGGCAGTGATTTGATGACCGCCAATGGCCAGCATAGATGTCGACAAGAACTTGGACCTGCGTGTTTGTTTGGTGCGGCTATCCTGCTTGCAGGCGCCGCCTGACCGGAAGGTTGAGATGACCACGGGAGCAACCATCCACACTGCAGGCTGAAATGCTTGAAGATCCAATGAGTTTAGCCAGCGAACAGGAAGGTCGTATGCTCGTCTTACGCTTGTGCAGACGAAGCTGGGGCATTGGGATCATTGCTGCAGGTGGTTTGCTGATGGAAGTGAGCAAGCGAACTGACCAGCGAGCTCAAAGTCACAGCCAAGGTTGGAACAAGATGGGAAGTCTTGTGCAAAGGCTCAACTTGGCCATAGCTTGCAGTTGCCAAATCTTTGTGAGGCCGCCAGGCCGTGGACATGAAGGGCGTGGTCAACATGGCCTAGACCTTGGATCATGGAAGAAGACTAACAACACATGGAACCTCAGACTTCGGATCCCTGCATTGCATGTCTAGAGTCTAGACTTCCTGCTTGTGAGTAGCGAGTCAAGGTAGAGAGACCATCCAACACATGCTAAAGACTAAGCCAGCTTGCAGGCTCTTGCCCAAGCTCTCCACTCAGTGTTGGCTGCAGGAGAAGAAATTACGTGGAACGGTTGCACAGCGAGCTGGGCCCTCTGTCAACTCCTCCTTGAAGTGTGGCGGTGGATCGCTCATGATCGCTGGCAATCCGGTCCAGAGTTTGTCTAACACGTGTTATCAGATTTGCAGATCTAGCTAGAGTAATTTCAACGCCAAGCAAGTCTTAAAGGAACTCTTGTTGCTGCTGGTGTTGCTCAGATTGAGCCGGAAGCTTTGGTCGTACCGACGGCCAGAGAGCTTCGCATGCTTTTCACGGCGCAGAAGGAGGTCGGAAGCATGCCATGCACTTTGGAGTTGCAGCTTGGAACGGCTCCCCACAACACCAGGATGTGCGAAGGCTTTCGCCGGAGCAGCCGCCTAAGACCAGGCTTCCAGAGGTCACCAAGGGACTAAGAGCTGAGTCACCTCCACTGCGCTTTTGACTGCTGCCATGTGTTTCAGCTTAGAAGTCGTGTCCTGTGCCGAGGCCCGAGCTTTTCGAGGCGTTGGAGAAGGCTTACAAGCAATGCGACTGGTCTGATGTTCAGCGGTCAGCATCAAAACTCGGCCCGAGGATGATTGCTGTTTGGCAGCCAAGAGCCGCCACTTTCATGGTCCCTCAAAACGGGTCCTTAAGTTGATGGGGCCTTGGGGTGGTTTCTGGTTCGCAGAACCTGTGCTCGTTTTGGATAGCACACCACAAGCCAGCCAGTTATACATGTATGAGCCACTGTTAACATTGGCCCTTTTAAGGGGCCCTTAACAGTGGACATAGGGGTCTCTCTTGTAGTTGAGTATAGCCCCCAATATAGTCAGTACTAAAGAACCGATGTCCTTCAGATTATGTATCAGGTATCGACTGTAGCTCATCTATATTTATATAAGTGTTCCCCAAAAGGTCACGTTACTCTTCCTAAAGCCAGACGTGCGATGAGATTTCAAGGAGAAGTCATTTATGCAACTCTCAACTGATACATGTCCTTGTGCAGGCTGGTTCTGTTGTTGTGTCTCAAACGTCTCCACCTTGTTCCATACTTTTCGGTGCTTCGCCGAAGCCTGGAATAATGATCATGTGGATCAAGCCACAGCTCCTTCAACGTCATTCAATTACAGGGGGGGTTGATTCTATGGCTGGCCGGACATGCTGGATATCAGGGGATGATCGTCGAGGAAAGTTCCAGTTTTCCAGAAGAGCTTTGCAGTGTCAAGCAACTTCTTGAGATCTGACCAGCAGATTTTAAGATCGTGCCAGTGGATGAAGCCATAAGAAGTAAGAACCAAGCTACAATCAGAAATATACATCAACAAGTGCACCAAACAATCACAATGAAAAGCAAACATATAGTAGTCACGAGACAAACATGTAATCCCGAGTCCGCCTGCAGCTGGTGGCAGAGTGGGGATGTGGGAGGACCTGGGAGGAGTTGGGAGGCCTTTGGGATGCCCTCATGTAGTCACACGTCTGCCTGATGACTGTAGCGCTTGCAGAGTGGGGAAATGGGGACGCCCTACAGCTCCTCATTTGCGCGGCCCGAAACCGAGCCATAGGGCTGCAGAGGCTACCCGAGCCCTACGGCTCCTCATTTCGGAGTTTCGAGGGCAACAGAAGTGTAGCTTGAGTAGCTCAAAGAATACTTAGGCCCCAAGATAACTGAACAGACAACCATCTGCTGTACAGCTGCTTAGACCCCGAGAGGGCTAGACTTTGCAGGGTATCGCCGAGACTTGAAGCTGCTGACCCTTGTGCTGTGAATGCGAGCAATCCCTTCAAATGAGCCATGTAGTGGTGTTTTTTTCAAGTATGTTCGGAGTGAGGCTGAGTCGATTGCTAGTGGGCTTGGCTAGTGCTGACGTTTCGCAGGCAAGCTACGCCTCGCTTCGTGATTATTGTTTATTGTGTTGCAAACATTTCCTCTCGTCCACGGACCCGTCTATGATGCCGTGGTATAGATGTGTAGATAAGATAGCTATAGGCTTGGCTTGTGGCAGCACCTATTTTGCATGTGAAGATGAACTCCAAAATTATCGTCATGCTCAACCATCAGAGCAACAAGACGAACGAAGTGTATGTAGCGGGTATGTAGGGGCAGAGAGAGCACTAATGAGCAAAATAAACATGAGGCCACAAACTTCAGAAGACGCGAGCAGGAACGCCGAAATTGTACAAATGCTCATTCAAATGAATCCTCTTTATCTTCATGAGACAATGAGGTAACGGTATCTTTGAAGGAGCACCCAATATTGTCCACTACATAAGATGATGAGGTAAGTGTAATGGTGTTTTGGAAAGATCACGTAGTGATGTCCCATATACGCTAATGGTTGAAATCCTGCTGTGCGACAATGTCAAAGATGACCGAGCAGCGTAATGTAATCGCTAGCGCGAGACCGCCTCGGCAAGTGTGGTTCAGGTGACAGATGCTTCCCACCCCTGCCCCCCTGACCCGCCCCCAAATCCGTGTTTCAGCCTGGGGTTCGCGGGGAACCTGCATTTCGGCCGCAGGCCAGCCCCTGCGAAACCCAGTCGACCAGCCGGACCCCCCTGACCCGCCTAGAGTGTGCGGGGGTTCGGGGAGGCTTAACTTACCCCTCCTAGTCTCCGGACCTGGATCTAAACTCCCCAGGCCTCCGGCCTTGGCGGATAAGAACAATCAATATTTTTTTGGTACGGACTTGTGCGTTCAAGAGGGTTTTTTCAGTTTAGGGCATCTATAAAATGACCACCTGGCCCATTTCTGTTTATCGCGCCTCAATATGATGTTACGGATTGCACAGTTGGTCATTTGCCTGTATGTAGCTGTAATGGGTTACCAGTTGTGATATAAACTTGAAAGGTATTGGGGGGTGTAAGGATGCCCGGCTAGACTGGTAGTCAGTCTTATTATCTCAATGGTCACAACTAGTAATCCATGAGACGTCTGGCTAATACGTTGCGCGCTTCGCTGGAACTGTTAGCCTCATGCCCAAGTATCTCGACACTCCCAGGCCAAGAGGTGACCAAGGAGTATTCTAAAACGTTGGACGCTCAGACAACTCATGTTCCCTTGTTCTGAAGTGTGTTTTGTACCACGCGCCTTTTCATCCTTGTGCCCGCCACTGCGTTTGGATAGACAGCTCTGGTCTAGCCCCGACTCTTTGTTTTACAGTGCAGAGCCAAGGTTCTACCTTGGATCGCAGCTTCTGGATCAAGATGAGCAGCGAGTCGTGTGGGTGCGCCCCGTGAGTATGCATGTAAAATCCAACCTTCCAAATTCTGGTATGACACATGCTTGGCGAATGTGCAGGCAATCTATAACTGGTGCCGAAGCACGGATGAGTTGGTTGTTTCAGCCTCAGTCCAGATCCTGCTGTACAGCACGAGCCGGGTGATGTGCTTATGACAGAGCTGCCAAAAGAGAGACATGTCATGTTATGGCACAATCCCGTCAGAATGAGAAGTGCGACGTAATGCAAAGTATAGCTCATGTAGACATGTTCTGAGCTATGACATGCAGGATGGTCCGGAGGCGGCCAACACTACAATGGCTGAACCCGGGCTGCATTAGCTCCCATCAGTTGCTAATGGGTAGCACGAACACATGCTCACTGGATCTCAGGACCTTGAGGAATGGGAAGAGCGACTCAACAGGATCTTCCAGCTGGAGGCCAGATCCTGTTTGATCTCAGGTGCCCATAGCACAGAAGCCCATGTTGCGAGCTCGATCCCTACAGGTGCCTGCAGATGGTGATCCGGCCGATTTGGCCATGGTAGACAGCATACGCAAGTGCTGGCCTCATACTCTCCTGATTTTGCCAACTAACCAGGGAATTTCAGCAGCGATTGAACGTCGAACGCTCTACAGGTTCTCTTTGATTCAGCGGCCTTTCCAGGACATGTCGTAAGCTCAGACATCCAAGGAGGTGAGGTCAGCAAGATCCTGCCTGTACAAGGGAACCCTATGAAGAATATCAGCAAAGAGAAAGTGAATTGATCATGGACCGGAACGCTTAGCCATCAATTCCATGGCGCTTGCATTCCGCCGCCGAGGGTGGGTGGGATGGCAATGGATCTTGTCAAGGAGACACGCATGCTTTCGCACTCCATTTGGCTGGTATAGACCTTCAAGAACAAGTGTGCCTGTAGCATTCACGGCTTTCATGTTGGGTTTTGTTTTCTGCCCTTCACCGGCAGCTACAGCTGCAGCTGCTGCAGGAGAGGTATGCCACCTTCTACGAGCTGGAGGTAGGAGAATTACCTGTCTGTTGCATGTCGTCCTTAAACGAGGTTGCTGCGAACGTGCGACAAGGCTGACAAAACTCAAAAATGATTTTGTTCGGCCCTGTCGAAGGTGTACTGCTACCGCGTTGCTGGCACGGTGGGAATCATGACATTGCCAGTGTGCCTTGCCTCAGATTGGGTTCGTTCAGCAATTGTGGCGCGTTACTTGTGGTGTTGTTGGATTTGATTTGTTCTGGATGCGAAGGCTCGGCTTTGATCCCATGCAGAACTTTACGGAGGAGATGCAGGCTGGTCCTTGTTGGCAGTGGCATACATGAAGACTGCCGTTTTGCTACGTATAACAACGTGGCTCCGTTTCCGCGAGTCTACAATGCAGGAAGAGACGATTGCAGCGGCAATGTCCCTTGGCGTCGCTTTCCAGCTGACGCCGGGCCGGCTGGTTATGCAAGGGAGGCTCTATGGACAGCAAGTTGCGGCCGAGAGCATCCCCACAGAATAGGTATAGGCATTACGTTCTATGTTTTGTTAGAGCTAGCTTGTGACTGTGTGCATGTCCGCCTGGATCAAAACAAAAAACCGATCTCCCTCCGACCAGCTGGAGAGTGCCTTGGGATCGCTTCAATTGGATATGAACAACGCTGCCGGACTGTGAGCACCAAGCGCAGAAAAGCATATGGCCCACCCCAGAGCTCACCACGAGCCAAAATGCAACACCCAAATCACTTTCGCGATTTGGAGCAGGCGCCTGCCGACCCGCTTGCATTGATAGCAGAGCTGTGATGGAGCCCAGCTACAGACATGATGAGAGCTGCCAGGGCGCACAGAACATGAAGGACAAGACCACTGCGATCCACTATGCACCGATGCTCTATGCAGTACCGCGAACGAATCCACCTGCCCCCCCCCAGACTTGAGCGAAAGGAGTGCTCTAACAACCTCAAGGCTCAAAAAACTCCTGTGAAGGGCCCTCTTTCTGACGTGCCATGGCAGACCAGAGAGCAAGGCTCTTAATCTGCGCCGCCTCTAACACTGCGGCAAATCCGCTGTGCGGGACTCGCGGGCCTTGGGGGCCGCATGGGGCCGCCAACAACATACTGGAATGGGTCATATCATCCATAACGTAGAGAGTCACAGCACATGCCGGAGCGATCATACCAGGAACATCCTGCGAGACGTGGGTGAGGCCACCTGCAGCGAAAGCTGAGTTCGGCAAAGAGATGAATCGGCTGTTGGATCTTTTGTTGCTGCATGACAGGATGCCAGGCGAGGAAGGATCTATGTGCCACTGGAGGTTTCCAGCTTGATAACAAGGCAGTCAGCAAGCATTTGACGAATATTCTGCGTGAAGGATCTTGCTCGCTTTGGCATTTCGGAAGACGAGGCACGTGAAAAGGGACGTGAGGAGGTTCAGCACTAGTCAGGTAGAGTAGCTTGCAGCACTTGTGATTCGGGGTGTGCCGCTTTTTGAGAGATGCTGAGACGCGGAATCAGTCAGCGCAGCCTTTCAGAGTGCCTTCAACCTTTAACTTGAGGGTATAGCCGTAGGGTGGGAGGGCTTTAAGAGGTTGCCAGAAGTTGCGATCGAGTCGCACCCTTGAGGTTCTGGCGGCCTCACAGGCCGAGGACCTCTTGTACCATGAGCAGAAGTGGAAGGATTTCATGGCCCCTCAGCTGCAATGCTAAGTCCAACCGTTAACTGGTGCTGCTCTGCAAGCTACGTCCTGTAAGCATCTTGTATCACATCTGCATGCTGTCTCTTCGATGGCGTGGCTAAGGAGTTCGAGATGAAAAGGTGTGAAGAGTGACGACCTCAATCCAGTGCTGACATTTGTTGCAGCACTTGTGTGAAATTATGGATGCATGTCATCGAACTTGTCAGGGAGTATGAGAAGGCAAAGGCCGGCATCGTTGGCCTCTCGGAGGTGAACCGTCTTGGTGTCATGGTCGCGGGCTTGGATTTCAACTGCCAACCGAACCTTCTTGGAGCTTCAGATGCTGCTGGCGGGAATGGTCCACTGCCTTTCATACTTGTGCAGGCAGCGCTGTATGTCTACGGTACCCTGGGCACCAGTTGCCAGCTGCTGTGATGTTTGATTCGTGTGTCTGGACATGCTGCACTGCTGCAGCACTTGACGCCAGGTGACATCCTGCAGCGTATCCGAGAAAATGGATACGACAATCTCAGACATGTCCTCAGACAGGAAGGGGGAAACAGCATAAGCAAAAGCAGGGATAGCTTTCCAAACTGCTTGGGTTGCAGAGGGCATTGCCTGCAAAGCTGTTTTTCTCGTTTCGTCTCTCGAGGGATGCTGCAACAAATTTGGACAACCAGGCCGCAGGGCATATGTGCCTTTCATTGACAAGGTCTTTTTGATGGGCAAGGTGCCCCTGCAGATTGTTTCACTCTGCCAACCTGAAAGCGAAACTTGAACACAGAGATTTCAGAGAACAACTGAAGGCTGTACCAGTCACGATTAGCTAGTACACTGGTGCAGGCTTGGCTGAAGTGCCAAGAGCTCAACAAGGCTGTGCGGGATGTGCGCAGAATCGTCAGTTTTTCGTCTTGCCCTGTGGCATGGTCTCGCGGACGAACTCTCCGGGCTCTTGCAGGCATTTCTCAGTCGAACTGTTTCCATGTGATTGCCAGGTGGCTCAGGACAACATTCGAAGTGGCAAAGTTTTCACACGAAAGAAGGAGCATTGAGTCAAGCGCTGCTGTTCGTTGTAGGGTGTCATTTTTCACTTCAGTTGATCGCAGCCGCGCTTTTGCTTTCTGTTGTATGGCACATTGGGTCTAAGTTGGGTTCTTGACAGCGCTTCCAGTAGCATGCGACAAGTGTAGTCGGACATTGGTGATTAGCAAATGCCGGCAGTGCCCCTGACAACATGCGATTCCTGAGCAGTTGTTCACGTTGTTCTGCGGCACGAGAGCTGTCATCTACTTTAAGAGGCTTTCAGAGGCCTGGACATGCGGCAAATAGTGAGTTGTCAAGCCTCGCAACGTGCCTGCGCTCTCTTGCAGAGTCGCAGCAAATTGCTGCGTATTCTCAATCTTAGTTCTGTGATGTGCTGTGCAAGTGCACTGGGCGTACTACCCAATCCTTGCGCTTCTGCCCGTTGTGCTTGTAGGAATCCTTTGTGCAACCGGAGTCCCAGAGATGACTAGATTACAGCTGTGCACAGTATGGGCTGGAAAGCAGGGACCCAGCCCGTGCGCTTGAGGCCATGGATTTTTATGACTCGTTACGGAAATCCCGTGCACGAGTGAAAGCGAAGAAAGACACTGATCTCAGTCCTCAAGTCAAGGGCTTTCAGAAGGCAAGTGCCCAAACCGGCATTCTCCGGTTGGGTGCATTACCGGGCATTCATTGTTCACGACAAGCTTGGCTTTTAGACTGTAGGTAGCAGATGGCCTCACCATGGGCTTGAGTTTCAGCTTCTGCAGCTGGCGCACCTGAACATGGTACTTGATCACGGTGCTGGCTTCCGTCACTTTGTTCAGGGTCCTGGAGAGTGATGACACAGGTGCGCAGCCAGTCAAAGCACAAACATCAGTGTGACGGTCCACTTCACAGAGCCATGGCGCCGAAACGCGGAAAGGCAGCGGACAAAGCCACACAGGAGGCTAGATTATTGTAGATTGGAATAATATATTGTCCGCTGTTGTTCGGTAATCTCATATCAAGTCTCGCTTGCACCATTCGGGATAGCGAAGGACTATGAGTCCATGACCCTGGCAGTGCTCAAGAGCAAGGCCCAGGAGCTTGGAATTGTTCAAAGCGGCACCAAGAAGGACGGGACAGCGCTAAGAACAGCCTCACTTTGCGAGCGCATGTACCGAATTGCAAGATGGACTTCAATTGATCGGCATGAGGTGGTATGAAAAAATAGCTCCATCGGCTTGGAGGATCTCATTGAGCGCCTTCGCGCTGTGACGTCCAAGCCGCAGACAACGATTCCTTTCTGCAACGTTGCGGGAGGCCTCTGAAGTTTGTGGAAGTGGAAGTGGCGCGCTGCAAATTGCTCAGGAAGCGTGCTGCGCCCTCTGCTCCTGCAGAAGAGAAGGCGCCTAAGCGAGGCCCTGGATTAGACCTCAACCTTGCAGGGTGGTACGCATGACTGGGACGGGATCGCCTACTATTACCTGCTTGCAGGAAAGGCCGAGACTGGGGCTGTCGAAAAGGCCTGCTGGGTTTGATTGATGAACCCTGGGACTGGTATTTGTGCAGTTAGTCAGCAGGGCAGATAAGAGGGACCTGTACCTCGTGTTGCACAGCCGTTCGAAGTTGACCTGTCACTTACCCGCATCATCCCATACCCATCTTTGAATGAAAACTCTTTGGAGGCAGAGCCGAAGGGCAAGGCCAAGGCCAAAAGCCGCGGCAAAGCTGCGGACAAGGCATTTTGGAGAATTTTGGAACGTTTTGATAAGGTTTGTCTTGAAAGTTTTCTTGACGTCCACGGCAATGCATATTCACAATTCTGGGCCAGTTTTGTCGTACTTGAACGGGATATGGCTCAGAGATGGTGGCTGCAAGCTAACAGCCTACCTGTGTGAATTGAAGGATGCAAGTGCTGGATGGTACCGGTGCCTGAGGAGTCAGAAGAGGAGCCACAAGCTCCGAGCCCCAAAGCCAAAGCAAAAAGCCGAGCTTCCAAAGAGGAGCAAAAGGGACCTTTGCTGCTCTCTGCCGAGAGTCTCTGCATCTCTCAGCCTTTGTCCGGGAATAGAAAGGAGCCGCCAAGCAAAGCGAAGGCGAAAGCCAAGGCCCGAGTCAGAACGGATGTCGTAGCCAGCTCCAACACAAACACTTATCCCAGTACAGGCAAATCAGAAGAACACCAGCCAAGAGGAGGCCTCTGCTGGTCCAAGTCTAGATGCTGCAGCCTCAATAAGTGAGTGACAAAAGCATTCGGAAGTCTTTTGGGCAAGTTTGCGCTCCTCTGCGCGCAACACTTTTAGCACAGAGGTTCCTGTGAAACAGTCCCAGGACATCACGCCAGCAGACGGCCAGATCTTCTATGAAGACGGTGCTTGGAGTCGCAGCCTCGTTTGCAAACCCCTTCGCTCCCAATGCGGCGGCAAGTGCGAGTAGTTTGCAGACTTGCATTTCTGGAAGCTCAGTGGATAATTCCGAACACACCTTTTGTCATCCTTCAGATATGCTTAAGCCAGCTTGAGATGCAAGCTTTTCTTATGCTCACTGTTGTGATCTAGCTCGGTTTGTTGCTTCTGTGGGATTTGTCGTGAGGCGTCGAGCGTGCAAAGTCCGGGCGCTCCACCTGCAAAATCTGTCAGGAGCTGCCCAGCAAAGGATACGCAAACTCTTTGGATAATGTGCGTGGCAAGCGAGCGTCAGGAGAAGATCCCGGCCCAATGCCTCAGGCTGTGGAGGGGTCCGAGTACGTACGTATCACAATCATAGATGGAAATGTAGCTGCGCCATGTGCTGCAGGATTGGCAAGACAGTGAAGGCTGACAATTTCGATGGCAACATGACAATGTGGTACCATGCTGGCTGCCTCCTGTGACTTGGCGAAAGTGCTTGGCTAGTGTGGAACTGTTGAGCCATTGAATGACACTGTCCACTACCGCTTCGAGGCAGGGGAACATTTTGCCGAGCTCTGTGTCCATCATCTCTGGTTTCTCAAGCCTGCGCCCAGAGGAGCAGAAGGCCCTTTGGACATGGGAGTCTTAAAGCTGGGACATGTGGCCCGCTTAAACTACCTTTCGTTTGCCTGGCTTCTGTGGCCTTGATGTAGGCAAGTAGCCGAAGACTGTAGTCAAGTTGCGGATGCTGGTGACAGGCCATAGCCAAGATAGTCCCCAAAGGGGATGGCAGCGGTGCCAGTGACTCCAAGCTGCCTCTCGGCTTGACTATGGTGGATAGCAATGATGGAATTCTGCCGACATCTGCAGGGCCGCACAGGGCAAGAAAGTCCACGAGATCTTGGATGCCCTGGAACAGTCCAGCCCCAAGCGACTACTGAAAAATTAAGCCTCTCGAAGCACTGGCTTTACCAGGCTCAATCCAAAGCAGCTCAGCGAGATGGCGGCACTTTGGCTTGGTCCAGAAGACTCGCAGCTGCTGGCTTGGAGGATTGTAGATTGCCCATATTGCGCGAGTGAGGCATTGAATGGCTACCCGGTGCAGAAACTTTGTCTTCAAGAGCAAAGGGGCTGTGCGGAGCAGCATCTTCTTGTGCCGGCAAATCTGTTTTGGACTTTTGCTTGCGTTGGAGCACTGAGTTTCTCTTGATAAGGAAGTTGCACGTGTCCAGCAGCTGGGTCTGCATCTATCGGTGCAGTTACGCAACTCCATTTCAAGAGCAATTCAGGTCCAGTGTTTCAGGCTGTGATGGTTGGAACTGAGGCACGTTGGCGCAGCTGTGCGCTGACGGAATTCTTTTCGGTGCCACGCAGCCGTGCGAGGTCTGCAAGGACGTCTTCAAATGTGTTTAGCTTGAGGTCACAGGCTTCGTGAGGGCTCAGGCCCACGTCTGCGCAGTCTTCATTGGTTTGGCCTCCTGTTTGTTTGCCACAACAGGTCAGACAGTGAAGGCAGTTCAGGATCTTAATCTCAGGACCACGGCAAGCCCGGCAGCATCCTGCTGGATGGCGAGGTGTACAAATGCTTCTCGGACTGCCACAGCTTCTGCAACTCATTTTTTTCTGTGTTGAGGGCATGGAAGCGAACTCCAGGCATTGGCTGGATGACAGACCATTTGAAGTGCGATTTTCAGACGCTTGGCTATCTTGGGTTGAGGCTTTTGCAAAGCGTGATGGGTTTGACTGGTCAGCACCTTCAGGACGCAGAAGCCAGAGCGAGAAGCCTGGCAGTTGACACCAGCAGCCAAGCAGCACCTTGCCTCTCACGTTGGAGACAGCTTGCAGGCGCTCATCAGGCAAGCCATTGCAAGCGTGCATAAGCGTGCGCTGAGGTTGAACAATGGAAAGCTGGGCAAGATGAAGTTGCAGGCCAAACGCGAAAGCATGCACTTGCGCTCAATTGACCTCAACTCCGCAGGTTGGGACTCGGCTTTTCGCCACAAAGATCAGCGAGGACGGTACCATGCCTTCCCAGCAGCTTGCTCATGAAGGATCATGAAGGAGTTGGATGTGAGTGGCGTTTCCTCTGCTCCTTGCTACTCCCCAAAAGACTTAGGTCAGCAGTCAGCTCATCGCAAGCGAGGCCACCTTTGCTGAACCAGACCGTCTATCTCGCCAAGGCAGGCACATGCGGGCACCTGCACAACAAATCTTGAGCCCGACAGCACTCGTGAGCAACTCTACCTGACTTGACAAATCTCGGCAAAGGGCTTCTCAGATGAGAAGAAGCAGGAGCTCGAGGCAGCAAGGCTGCAGTACTGGGAACTGCACAGCCACGTGCAGCGCGTCATGTCGGAAGCTGGTGGCGTCGCCATTCTGCACTTACGCAAATCTGAGTCTAAGGAGCTTGTGAATTCCCACATGGGCAAAGTAAGCACCACCATCACCAAGGCCTGCTCTGCAGGTTCTCGAGTTAGGCTATTTGTCCAGCTGCTGGCTTTGATGTTTGTTTGCCGTAGCTGCCGCCATAACCCTCTGCCTGCGCAGTATGCCTTGGAGAACCCAGGCCCCAGATCTTGTAGGTCTAGGTGCTTCCTTCCATCTGAAACTAGGAAGAATTTACGGTGTAGCAGGACCGTGGACCATAAACTTTACGTGCAAAATCAAGTTCGAGGATGTCAAGGGGCTTAGAGCCGTTTTCAAGCCATCATTCTGGGCTTATTGAGTTGTAAGAGGCCACTTGCTTCGTCGTGTCCTCGGACGAGCTTGTTGAAGAAGATACCGAAGAGGTGCAGGCAGTCCAAGGGAAGAGTTGCGTGGTGCAATCCATGAGCGCGGAGCATTCTATGCTGTTGTAAAGCCAGCAGCAATCCCTCCTGAATCGGAGCAAGGTTCTATGTTGTTCAGCGTTCCCATCATTTCTCGTAAAAGCAATACGTGCTGATTGGGTTGCCTTCGAACAAGTTGATCTTTGCGAGATGAGACTACTGTGCAAGAGCTCACTTGGGTGTTGTACTGTACCAGCCGGTTCCATGCTTGTACATTGTAATATTCTCGCAAGCCGGGAGCTCAGCCAGAGCGATTGGTATGTCTGGAGGCTGCAAAAACGGAGGGGGTGCCTGGAGTGGACGAGCACTTCCTGTACAAGCTGGAGGCCCAAGTTTCTTTTGGCTGCCATGGGTGCGTGGCACCGCCCACACAACGTGCGTGCCATCTACCAATCTGATAGAGCCGTGGATGAAGCCTTTTTGATTGCGACTTGGTGCTTGAGATGGGATGGCAGGCCGGAACCACGACTGACATGACTGCGCAACCCTGGCTAGATTTGACAGGCTTCAAGACATTTGTATCTGCAGATTCTGCAGCAAGTATGTGGACGATGCCGCACGCTTGAGTCCACTGTTATGAAAGCTACGAACATTAGCGCGCTGAAAAGTAAGTAAACCTGCCGTGCAGCATCCCGGTTGGTGAAAGGAATCTTCTCTGGGGCGGAGCACGGCGCATGTTGGGACCTTGGTGAGACGCAGGTGTAGTCACGCAGCACTAGCCGCAGGGCTCAGTCCTTTGTTGTGACGTCCCAGGTTCAAGGCCATCGAAGAGACGGGCACGGCGAAGACAGCATCATCCCAAGCAATGCTTTTTTTTTTATGCGCTCATAACTGCCTCCACGGCAAGCTGACGAACTTGCTTGGGAGGTTGAGAAGGACGGAGTGGCGATGGACACTGACATCGGAGAGTTGATGGAAAGGACCCACGTACTGGTGGACAGGCACGGCCCCAGCACATTGTTGCATGACGACCGTGTGGTCGTAGGAATTTCCCTGCCTGCTGCGGCAGGTCGAAGGGCCGAGTGTACAGTGAGACATTGAGCCAGACCGACATGACCTCGGGCACCAACTCCTTCTACAAGCGTGGAGCTGTGCATTCTGCAGAGAAGGGGGCACCGGAAGTTCCGTAAAGTTTGCAAAGAAGAGTTTGTGAGCACGATTTCAAATGGCACAACTTCGGCACAACGTTGATTAGATCATTCGGCCAGCGTGTGTGGCAGAAAGCTTGTTGAGTCATGTCAGGTTGTACTTGTTGGAGTCCGACAAGGATGCAACCGCCAGACAGCCGTGTCACATGCAGAGCACGCACGAAGGGTAACGGATAGAACATGATGTTTGAATGGCCAGCCACTTGTCGGCAAGTCACTGCGGCTGGCTTTGCAGACCCCTGGCAAGGACTCAGGTGGCAGCTGCTACTGGGTGTGGAGGAAGTGGGGCCGAATAGGCGCATAGAGCAGAGCTGCTGAACATCTTTGTGCTGAATCTAGCCCAACAACTTGGCTTGGGGCATTATTCGCGAAAGCTAGCGGAGCTAGGCTTGAGTCCAGCTTTGCTTTAGCAGTAAATGCACATATTGCAGCATGGCGGGGAGGGGTGGGGGGGAGGGTAAACGTGATTCTTGCACAGGAAATTTATTATTTTTTGAGGAGGGGGTTTTGGAGGTCAAAGATGATTCCGTAGGAATACCACGGTGCGTACGAGTGAAACCATGCTTGGTTGTTGTATCAAAACTTCCGAGTGCTTGTTCGCTGTGCGAATAACATAAGGCTTGGTGATGGATCGAAGCTCCTTTCTCCTTTGGTACTTGTAGTTTGGTAGTGTTCACTACCCTTGTACCGTCATGCTACGAGAAAAATGCTGCTTGGTTGTTGCAGGTAACATATCTATTCTTTGAAGCGCTGCCGTGATTCTATCAAGTCTGCCTAATTAAGTGGTGCGGACCCTTCTTCGAAATCATATCAACATCATCATGCCTTGCATCAGGCCTCCTTCCGTAGTGTTCACTACCCTCGTGTGGTCGCCGTACGAGCAGAAGCTTCCTTTTACTGCTTGCATCAAGCCTTCCCACTCCCCCTGTTGTATCCACTACCCTTGCACGATTATGGCGCGACGAACAGTTCCTGGTTGTTGCGTGAAACCTCCCTACCTTCATGTCATGTTCACTACCCTTGCAAGGTCATGATACGAACAGCATCGTGCTGGTGCTTTCATGAAGCATTGAGCGTCTTTCTTCCCTCAGCAAGAAGTTGTGTTCACTACCCTGGCAAGGTCATGGTGTGGTGTTGACATGCTGGGTGTTGCTTTAAAAATCCTACTCACTCGCACTGTTCACTACCCTTGTGTGGCTATGGTACGGGCAGCGCCATGCTCTATGCTCGTAAAAAGTCGCATGGCGAACGTGCCACCAGTCGCAGAGCTGCTCGGGGCCGCTGTTCTCGTTAGTGCCGTGGCTATGGTCAGAATGGGGACGGTCGGAGCCGCCATCGTCGTAATTGCCGACTTTCGGGGAACGGAGGGGTGTGGAGTGGGCGTGTGAGAGTGCAGTGGAGAGTGGAGTTACGAGTAACACGGAGAGTGAACTGGAGGGAGTGGAAATTGCAGTGGAAAGTGGGGTGGTAGTGGAGTGGAGAGTGGCTTGGAAAGTGGAGTGAAGAGATGGCGTTGCAGGAGTGGACTCGAGATGTGGGTGTGGAAAGTGGAGAATAAAGAGGGGAGTCGAACGGGAAACAGAGTGGGCAGTAGAGGAAAGTGGAAAGAAACGCGCTGCGAAAGTGTAGTGGGAAGTTGAGTGGAAACTGGAGTGAACTTACCCAGGTGTTGGGTTTGTGCTTCTTGCTGATGTGCACCTTCCCTCCCCTTGTGCACCAGCGCTAAAGCGTGCCTAGCTTTCGTTGGCCTCCGCTCGCCCCCAAATGGGACTCACAGGCTTTGGGGGCTGTTACAGTACTTGGCGTGTTGTGAGGCGTGAGCCAGGGAGGCACAAAGCTGGAGGAGTCTGTGCCCCAGATCGTGAGATTGGAGGTTTAGTGGCGAGCTGGCCTGGCTCCTGCATTTTTCTCTAACTGCTCGAATTTGTGTTGAGCTCCCAGGTTCAAGAGTGACCAGGCGGCAGCCATTCGGATGTTCAGCAAGCTTTACCTCGACCAACGCTCAGAGTCCATCGGCTTTCAAGCCGCAACAGCCAAGCCTCCTCAAAAGACAGGTCAATCTGTTCATGCAGTCCAATGCACCCAAGTACATCCCAGTACACTAATGCAGTGAAGACTCAGGACAAGACTGGTAACACCTATGGGCACAAGCCTGCTGACTTCGTGTCCCTTGGTTGCATAGTCTCAGCCCAGGCCCAGGTGGGGCAGCTGCATGAGACTTGTGACAGGCAGAAGCCTGGAAAGTTCAGCCGCGTGGATGTGGCACACAAGGCCATCCAAGAAGTACACACCGTGCACTCAATCGGACTGGGTGCGCTGCAAAGAGTTGTAATTGTAACTGTGCTTTCTCTGTGCAAGTGGCTGGATGTGCCACTGATTCAGCTGGGCATCGAAAGGGATATAAGGCTGGCTAGCTGGCTGAGAGCACTGACTGAGGCGCTGCAAAAGAAGAAGGCGAAGACGGATAACGAGGACTGAAGGATGCTGATACCCTGCGAATTACCTGCAGCAACTTCGCCGCAGGAGCCAGAGCCATCCCAGGACGAAGTTCAGGAGTCTGTACTGCTTGCCAGCTAACCTGAGGGCGTGCGATTGTCAAAGACTGGGGTCGAGGTACTTGTAGCAACGTTGCAGGAGGGGCAGCCGCTGGGTCAGCTGTCCAAGGCAGTGAGTCCTCATGTTGGATCGTGTTGGGGCTTGCAGAGTGCTTGGTGGTCTACTCTGGCAGATGTGCCTGCAGCTGGAGATTCGCTTTTGTTTACGTTCACCTGCAGCTTGTGAGTCTGGCCCAACAAATCAAACAAGTGGGTTTGCAGGGAGCCATCGAGAAAGGCAATGCCGTCTTGGTCGTGGGCTAAGCGTGAGCACGTTGGAAATCCCAATGCTGTAATCTAATTACCCAGCGCAGTGGAGGGACATGCTGCGCCCAGGACGCTATCGAGTCGATTCTGTCAGACCTGGCCGAAGGCCTTCCCCTGAGCTGTGGAGGGACTCCAAAAAGATTTGCCAGCAGGGCGCACTGCTGCCAGCTAAGCTTCGCTGCAATCACTCCGTTGCCCAGGAGAGGCACTGAGCCCGGTCCAAAGGGGGAAAATCAAAGGCAAGTCAGCAGAGCTGCTCATCTTGAGGTAGCAGTCATTTGGTGTGTCATTGGGCACATAAGCATGCTCGTCTTGAGGTTTTATGCGCTCATTCCGCATAACTTTGGCCTTAAAGCCCCTCCGCCGATCGACACGCAGGACTGTCACCGCATGCGCTGCTTTCAAGCAGCCTGTGAAGTCCATGCGCCAGCGGGCTATGTTTCAGGATTTGTTGGGGGCCGAGCGAGCTCTTCTTCAGTTCTACCTACGTCCGAGCCTCACAGTGATGGCTTTTGACAAGCGTTGGCACGGCCGTTGCGTTGGCATCCAGACAAGCACAGTTGCTGGACCAAGGTATGGGCTTCGAGGAGATTGGGGGAGAGGACGAGGACGTTCATGTTTCTATCTCTTTATTGATCGGAGTCTTGTGGTCAGTAAGCTGTCAGGAGAAGCTTACTCCGATCTCTGGTGTCATGGAGCTGACGCTGCCCAGCACCCTTCAAGAGGGCTGCAAGGGAATCTGCAGCAAGAAGGCTTGGAATGTTTCCTCAGACATGTAAGGCCATTTGATGTGTCCCACGGCTTTGCAGGACGTGGACAGTTGCACAAAGAAAGGCAAGACTCTGGAGGCAACAGCCGCATGTGATGGACTCTGTGCGCTGCCAAATGGACTAAGCATAGCTAACCTAAAGCCCACGAGAGACCCTCAGTTCAAGCTGTCTCCGCTGCAGCCGCCTCTGCACCAAGTGCTATGGTACTGACTATGATGGAGTCGCATAGTGCTGATCTACTTCTAGGTTGAGTCATGTTTGCTTGCTCCCAGCTCGAGCTTTCACGCAGAAAAAGAAAGCGGGTAAGCCGCTGAAGCCCATGAACCAAGAGCTCTATGGTTCCATTCTGCTCTGGCCTTAGTTTGCATGGGGTTTAGGTCTCCGAAGACAAAGCCTATAGTCCGGGGTTGTTCCGCAGTCTTTTGACATCCAGGATGTACACTGGCAATGCGATCTACCAGGCTCTGAACAAGGTCCCTCCCAACAGTTCTTCATATGGCACTGATGAAGCCTTCATGTGTTGCATAGTTGGCCTTCCCGCCCAACATTCGCAGTGGCTGCTTCGCCAGGCGCTGCGCGATGAAGATCGAGATAAGGTCAGCGCTGACTTGTTGACGGGCCGTGTGTGTTATCAGCGGCTTTGCTCTGGTGGGTTTGCCTAGCTGAACTGACGCTGACCTTTGGGATTAAAGCCTCTATGACTCTATGCCAGGTTGGCTCTTACTTCCCATATTTGCGCATGCTTTTCGAGGCATGTGCAAGGCACCGCCTGCGCTCGAAGTATGCTCGCGTATGTTAGAGTTCGAACATTTGAGAGCTGATGCGTCCGAGGCTGCCAATACGGGAAGTCACACTCTGGCGCGGAGTTGGAGTTGACCTCTATGACCAGTACAAGGCTATAGCTTACGATTGGGTCCTGCGCGGGGCGTCTCCATTGACAGGTTGGCAGCACCATCACGTGGTGGGGGGTTTCCAGCTGCACCTCCGATGAGAAGGTGGGCTGCCGGGTTGCCAGGCAATCTTCAGCCTTTGGACTCAATGCCACTGGAGCTCGTCTCTGAATATTCAATCGGATATATTCGGATATCTATGGTCTGGAAGGACCTCATAACAAGCTAGCAGCCATGGCTATGGTGGCCTCAAGAAGCCGCTGATGCAGAATTGTTGGGTTGGCAATATGATCTCTCATAATAATCAATGCTATGACATTTTTTATCGCTTGAGAACTTCTGTGCTGCCTCACCAAAGAGCGGAAGCATGAGCAACACGTTTCAGGTGGCGAAAAACTTCGCCAGTGGCTGCGCCGGTCCGCTGGCCACTCAGAAAACCAGGCTCAGGCTCCAGGGACAGCGATGATGTCTTGAATCATTGAATGATGATGCTGGTGGTGGTGGTGCTGCCAGCAGAGTAAAACCTAGAACATGTTGGAACAATAGTAGAGAGACATCAGTGTTATTATGACATCTATGACTTGTAGGGCAACAGGACTACCACCACTTACTATTTCATCTCATCACATGATGACACGGGTGATTTTCAACAAAACGTCTCAAGTTCCGCCTGCACATCTCATTGCATGATGAGAGGCGCGTGACGAGAGGTTGGGCCTTACCAAAATGCCCCTGTCCGTAGGAGCAACATTGCCCTATTTGGGATGCCTTTCCATTTGATGGTAGGATTGGAGGGGTGCGTTCTAACACAGAACCAGTCTTTTTGATTTCGCGACAGGATGGTAGGTGAGATATTGTGGGCTTTGATTTGGTTTTGGAGCTGTTTTGAGACTCGCGGGCACTTGCCGATGCAGCGTCTTCTGATGTGGGGGCCCCTGCCAACACCAGCATAAACATGTCTTGAGAGGTGGCCTTTCGCCTGCTTGCCTCCGAAGACTTTGTGACAAAAATGGATGGCAACTGGTCAATCCGGCAGTCGAACACAATAAGCCTGCCTCAGTTTCAACAGTAAGCCAGGACGCCCGCTACAGCCACATCAATGCTGATAATGGGGACGCAAGGGACACAATCCACAAAGCCTTGCAAGTGGTTTAGGTCAACGCTCCTGACGGTGGAGACGCAGACTGCTTGTGAGATTTCTGAGGCTGGGTGCTGGATGTTAAGACTTCTAGCCCGCTTCAAGCGGCAGCAAGTCAAAGCACGCAACTTAGGAGGTAAAGAAATCAGCACGCAACTTGAAAGGAGAGATGTCAAGGTGTTGCTCGAAGCTGTTCTGACGCTGCTCCTTGCCTGCGCAGTTGAGCTTCTATGCCAACGAAGCGGAGAGCATTTTGCTTCCTGGCACACAGCTCAAGGACCACGCCTCAGAAGCCTGCAGCATCTAACCTTTGCTGGCACCTTGCCCATACTTGCCCCAAATGCATCTGCCAATCGTATTTCAGACAGCTCTGGGCCTGTAGTTATTCGAGGCTTTACGAATGCATCTGGATGCTATAAACACAAAGGGGTCGGCTATGCAACAGTACAAATAGACTGACAAGCATGATGCCGGTGCAGGGTGAATCCAGCTTCAGACAGGAGAACCCGTCAAATAACGATCTCGACAAGTTGTGCTAGCACGATCAGTTCTCGCAGTTGAGACTAGATTGTCTGTCACTCTGCTAAAGGCACCTACTACTGCCGAAGGATGCAGGCAGTCCATAAGGAGACTCCGGAAATGAGATGTGACGTGGCACTAGAACGTGCGTAAGGCTTTGACGTGGGCTCGGCTCTGCACAAAAAGCGATCTGGTCAACTCTCTGGGCCATACCCCTGCCGCTTTATCGGTTGAAACGTGGCAGTCAGAAGACACGAGTGCGTGAGGACTTGACTGCACCCCTATATGCATTCTATGGAATCGATATTTGAATCTGACCCGCCATGAGAAGAGCTTGCATGACGGTTCTGCGTTGAGTTCCCAGGGCTGCCTTGGTCCCAACCTGCCAGAAAAGGCATCAGGGGTGTAGACTCTTCGGCCCGCACAGCTTGGCAGCAACATGAAAGCAACTGCAAGCACCCAACAACAGAGTGCAACCTTGGAGAACTGTGCTGTCCGAAGCCTGGCGGCCTAGCTCCGACTTGGTCCAACTTTGTGCCAGATCACTGCTAGGGTTGGTGATTCGGACAGCAGATCGGATTCTTCTGCACCAACGGCTTGTGCACAATTGCTTGGCTGCAAGACGTACAGCTGTTTCCCTTGGCACTTTGGCAGGTGCTCAGCTCTGAAAAGAAGGGCAAGACCGCAGGGTGCTCAACGGTGTATCTGTTTTTGGCACCAGCTGTTTGCTGGCGTTTCCGCTCGCAAGTGCGCGTCGCTGGCAGTTTTGGCATCCATGCCTTGCATCCCCCGGACAAGCGAAGGCCTTCATTCGTCTCAGGGAGGTTGGCCGCCAAGTGCAATGAGGTTCGCCCTCGGGCTGCTTGCCACGTTTCGATTTGCTGAAGGGCAAAAGCAGCATCAGATCGCTTGCAGGCGAAAGGAAACGCTTTTGGCCTGGCTTCCAGCTGCCTCGAGCATGCGGCATGTCTTGCCCACTGCTCTCCAGTTGGCCTCAGATTTCACCAGATCATGTTTTGTTAGAGCGGGGCCGAGCTCGCCATTTCTGATTGCAAAGGGGTAAGGTTTAAGTCCACGATGAGATGTAATGAGACGCTGTGACGATTATTGGTCTTGATTGTATAGCATCACAAATGTCGCAGGCTCGTGTCACTCGCGCTAGTCCACCTTGTATGCCCTGCGGGAAGCTGCAGAGGGCATGCGTTTGTCAGGTGATGTTGGGAGGAAGTTGAGCAAAGCCGGTGTAGAATTTAGCATGTTAGCTCTCAATTTCCTTCCAGCTGGAATTATCGCTGCAACCGTGGCCCCCAGTCGTCGCATGCCGGTTTTTAAGATCTGCAGCAGTGTGGCTGAGGCAGGGGTGCATTGGAGCGGCAAGAAATCAGGGATCCCATTTCGAGGACATGACTGGATGTTCTTGGAACTCTTCCCCGACACGACTCCGTGCCGAGGGAGGATCAGTTTTTTAGGCCTTGCCTGTCCTTCATTGCTGTCATTGAATGTCTGTGAGCTCCTTTGCATGAAGCCGGTATACGGTTCAACGCGCCGGTGGGGTAGATTTCAGAATCATGTGTATGCTGGCTACAAGCAGTGCAAGCAACAATGCTGGAAAGTTCAGGTATCCGGTTCATGTTTGTGTGCATGCTGTTGGTTCACAGGTAGGGATTCTCAGCGGTATTGAACGTGAAGAGTTTGTAGCAATGCACCATCCCCGGTTTTGCGTGTTTGCATGGTGGTGGCTCCTGTCTGTCGTATTTACAATGTGCAGCAGCAGTCTATGCCTGCCGGAGGGAGTTCCTGACGCGGAACGTGTGGAAATCCTGAACGCAGCAGGCGAGAGCATTCCCATTAGGTTAATGGTTTTCAATTGGAACGCAGCAGAGCTTCTTTCGACCATTGCCAAGCTCTTGATCGAAGAGGCTTTGGGTTTCCGTGCAGTCTTTGATGATTACCGCCCAGAGGCAAATATGGAGGTGGTACTGGGTCTGTCCGGCTGTTTGGACCGTGACTGCAACAACATGCAGATGAGTAACAAGCATGTGGCACTTGATGTGTGGTTGGGTTCAGCGGGCGCTGATGTTGAGCTCTTCATGCAGAAGCATGCGAGCCAAGCTCCCCAAGATCTCGGCTCCATTGGTTATGCAGGTGGTCTCTGACACGAAAAGACTTTCAATCCTTGGCTTTGCTTATGTTCAGGTTTGGGGTGACACCTAGGGCCCCAGAGTTCTAGAGAGTTTGAATGCGCGCTGTAGCGTTCATGCAGAGCCGTTGTGTTAAGAGGGAGGGTCGTCGTGGTTGTTGAGCTAACGACTTGAGAGCATGCTGCTTCAGCTGACTGCAAGAGCGCTGGCATCTGCACCCCAGGCGAGGAGGCTCTCTGTGTTGCGGAGACACTCTTAGATGAAGCCTACGAGGTTTCCGGTTTCTCCTTGGACTACTACCGCTCTTACAACACATCCCATTACAATGCCAAGCAGCATCTTGCCGGACCAGCAGCGTTCAGCTTGTATGCTGAACCGTTTGTAAGAAAAACACATTGTGTGTTGGTGAGCTGGGATGCACAGGCACTTCGATATGTGGACCGATGTGCCGCCTGAGGACCTGTTCCTGTGCAACTTGTCTTTGCCGCTTACTCTGCTGCTATAAGATTCCACATTTGCGGTTGACATATATATATATACATACATGTGTGTGTATATTTGTATGTATGTATGTATGTATGTATGTATGTATGTATGTATGTATGTATGTATATGCTCCCCGCCCACTCAACCCGCATGTTCAGCGAAACACTGACATGTGCTTGCTTTTCACAATGCTCTTCAAGCTATGTCTAGGGATGCACGACATAAAGGGATTGTAGAGGAAACTGCCATCACTGTCACCTGCCACATGCTTCTATGTGGTCATGCATGAGGCGCAAAGAAAACTAAACGATGGGATCAACATGAAGTCATTTTACATTCCTTTACTTTGAACGCATATTGGAAACCACAGTTTGGACTAAAGCTGGTACGGTACAGATGCCAGTGGTTGTCAAACCCCTTGCTTTGGACCATGAGCTGCAAAACAAGGTCCATCCCGAAACTCCGTAAAACAGAGGTCTTCGGCAGACCGCTAATTTCCGCCGATTTCAATGTTGGAGAGGATGCCCATGTTCTCCCAAAAGCTCCTTCCCATGGCTTCATAATGCTTCATGCACAACATGGCTTTCTTTTGGCAGTGCGTTCTTGTCGCACATGCTGTAGGAGAGGCCTTGGGAATATCCTAGAAACATGAACGGGCGTCCAAAACAAGAGGTTGATCCAGCCTGCTGTGATTTCCTGACGGCAGACATCGGGATGTGCTTTGCAGTGAGCCTCGACATCAGCCGAGGCAATGAGACTGGCGTCATTTGGACGGATACTACCTACATGGGGGAGTATGGTCGGTGGTCAGGCCAGGCTCTGGCAAAGCAAGTGGGTGTGGGAGTGTGTCAAGCCCTGCCTAGCCCAGCAGTTGACCCATTTCTCAGACAAGCCCATTTCACCCGTTTCCACTGCAGCTTTCAGCGGGCTGAAAGGCCCTGCATTTATGACCAGGTTTCCGTCATTCAGGGTTCTGGCCTTCCAGAGTTTTTCGTATGACCTTGTGGACGTTGGGCTCACAGGCAGACATTTTTCGGGAAGCCAGGTGTTGCGGGCTCGTAAACCCAAAGCCAGTCAGCTCCAGCTTTTGCCAAGCCCTGGTGTTGACGTTCAGAGACCCACCTTGCTATGACAAGGCGACCTGGAAGGGCTCGTGGCAGTGGATGGCGGATTCCAGCCAGGTTTGTGCTTTCAGGGTTAGCTTCCGTGAGAATGAACCGACGTAATCTTGACAACTAGTTTTATTTGATCATCAAGGTATTTGGGGCTGCTCGACTTATGGGAGGGGCTCGAACGGGCTGCTGAATCCAGCTTGTGGCGTAGCACTAAGACCTCCGCTGCCAGACCGGAACTGTTGAAGGCTTAGGCGCGCAGCTAAGGATACCATGCTCGCTGCCCAGAAGGTCGCTTTTGGATTGCACCTGCTTGTCGCCACAACTCACTGGAATGTACCTGGATGACTCATAGATCTGAAGCCAACTGTGCTACTGCCACAGTTCAAATAGCTTCTGATAGAACCACAGCCTGCCAACTAGGCCTTGTTCTCCAAGGCATACCTATCATCTCCACACAGTGGGGGTGGATGGTGGATGCCTACATGGCATGGTCCTCTGCCTATGGGTCTCTTGCCGTAATCGAGGACTCTTCCGCATCTGCCTTGAGAGAAAAAAATCCCAAGGCTTCCAACTGCCATCGGCATTGCACGCACCATTCCGCTCTGGGCCAAGAGCTTCGGAAGCCTTCGTGTCCTGGCCTACTGGCTCCAAAGCCGCACTTGGCAATTGTCAATGGCCATTGCCGGGAGATTGCGCATTTCATGGTCCTGGTTGAGCTTCAAAAGATCTATCATTCCATTGCTAATATAAGGTCAAGGCAAGCTGTGCTCAGACTTCAGACCTGGGTCATTCCACCCTTCCAGGCCTTGTAGTGTAGGCTTCTCAGAGCTCCGAGGTACAGACCCGATCCGAGCCTGGCGCCCTGGAACCCTCAGCCAATTGTTTTTCCCCGCCATCGAGCTGGCGAGTGGGCGGAAGGAAACAAGCGAACCGCGGGTATTGGCACCTACATTGGCAAGCTGGTGAGCCGGGATTTGCGATCACAAGCTTCCAAAGTGCACGGGCTCTTGGGAAACATGAAGATGGAGCTTACAGAGATGGAAGTTCTGTTGGTTGAGGCAGAAAGCGGGTCCATGCGTGAAGCGGCGTGCAGCTGGATAGCTGCCAACAGACAACGGTGGCGAAGTTGGCTACCTAAAGATACCAGCTGCATTCCAGGTTTTGGACTGGTCAACGCGAGTGGGTCTTACATGGCTTCGCGAAGCGACGCCGTGGCCTGCAGTATTTGTCCATCTGGCAAATTTTCCAAGTCGCTAATTGACGAGTCCGGACAGACCTTCACTTGCACATCATGCAGCGCAGGCACTTCTCGGGGCCAAGCTGGAGAGACCTACTGCACAGACTGTGAGCCTGGCACGGTTGCTACAACCAACGGCCTCTCTGCATGCCAGCTCTGTCCATTTGGAAGTTATGCAAATGTTTCGAGGATGACGACTTGCTATGAATGCGGCGTTGGCATCCAGTGGACGACCTCTCGCCTTGGAGAGCTGCACGGTGAGGAAGTGTGGATCGAAGTGGAAGGGGCTCCCTCAGAAAGCTTCTGCCACTGCAGACCGGGATGGTTCCTGCACAAAGGCACCTGCTTGCAGTGCGTAGAAGGAGCAGTGTGTCCAGGTTCCAGCACATTAACGCTACTTCCTGGATTCTTCTCGAGCGAAGACCAGCCAAGTTCCATCTTCAGATGCCATGGCAACGAAGGGCGGTGTCCGGGTGGCGTGCCTGGTACCTGTGCACCAGGACGCGACGTGGCCAGTGTGGCCTGCAGCACCTGCCTTCCCGGCCTCCATGGAAATGGTGCTGGCTGCAAGCCCTGCGAAGGCCTCGACTACCTTCTCTTCGCGTTTATTGCCTGCCTCGTGTTGGTGGGCACCGGCTTGCTGCACCTCCTGCTGCTCCACTGGGACAGCCAGAATCGCCGCAAGGAACATACTAATTCGTCCTTGCTTCTCGCGGGCATCTACACAACACAGCTGGTCAGCTGCCTGCAGCTCCTGGTCATGCTGCAAGGCATTGACATTGTTTGGGGTGAGCCTTTTGTTTCGCTGTTGAGAGCCATCAGTATTTTGTCTCTGGAGGACATCTTCCGCTTGGTTAATGCTGTGTCATGTGCAACGCCTCCCACACCAACTGTGGTTTTCCTGGTCCAGACGGTCGGGATGCCAGCATGCTTCATGGTAGGTCCTGTCGTAATTCATTTGGCTCGCATCGTCTGCTTGCGGAATCGGAGGCACAAGACATTGCAGCGGCATGTCCTGTTTCAAACTATTGGAACACTTTCTGTGCTATTCTTTATTCTGCTTTGCAACGCTGTGGTGAAGCCCTTCCAGTGCCACAAGCATCCCAATGGCCTGTTTACAATGCAGTCTGCAATTGGCGCTCTGTGCGACTTTACTGGGGATCACTTTGATCTCTGTGTTCTCGGCAGTGTCCTCGTAGTGCTGCCATCAGGGTTCATCGCCCTTTGCTCTTGGCTGATATTGGTGGAATTCCCGAGGCGCCTCCGGTCCTCAGACTTAGAGTTCATCCGAATGTGTTCCTTCCTCATCAGGCGCTTCCGACCAGGCTGCGAGAGCTTTGGGATCTTCCTTCTGGTTCGAAATGCCCTCTTTGCAATTGCTCCGGCCCTTCCCTCGGCAAATGCCAGCCTGCTGTTGATTCACGTGGTCTTAGGCTTGCATATAGTGCTGCTGGCTTTGTTGAAGCCCTGGCGTTCCCCTCATGCATCATTTGCTGACATTTTGTGTTCCTCAGTTTTTCTGGTCATCCTCTTCCAGGGTGGCCTATTCGTTACGTATGTGGATACAGTATCTTCAATGGTACTGTGCAGCCTCCTGCTGGTCGCTGTGCTTGTCTGCCTAGTCATTGTTGCCAGTATTGCGCTGGCGCAGCACGCGTTTGCGGGGATGACCAAAAGGTTCCATTTCTTCCTGTGCCATCACAAGCAAATGTCAGGAAGTCTGGCACGATTGTTGAAGATGGAGATGCAGCTGCGGGGTTCCGATGTCTTCCTTGATGCAGACGATTTGACAGATCTCACACAGCTCTTGCCCGTTGTGGCGGAGCATGTGGACACGATGCTGATAGTTGCAACAAACCGGCTGATTGCCCGAAAATGGTGCCTGGCGGAGATTGTGACAGCTCGCATGAACAACGTGTCCACGGTGCTGCTGACGCTTCCCGACTTCTTTCCGCCTTCCGATCACTTTATCAAGGCCTTCGAGACCAGCACGACGGATATGTCTGACCTTGCAGTTCATGGCTTCAGCATGGCTGACATAGGGGACACGCTGAATCTTTGACTGCTATTGGAAGCAATGTATGGATAGTTCCAAGCTAAATGCATTCTTGTGATCCACACTGGACCTGTGGATGCCTCTAGCTATTGGTAGTTGCTTCATCAAACCGGATCATCGTGATCCTTCAGATGCAATGAGTTGACATCAGTTAGGGTTTCACGGTGGGTCCCTGAATTCGTTCGACATCGTTCACAGCTTGAAGTGTGTCCTCAGAAAGCCTGAGGAGGTGGCTGAGAACCGTGAAGCATTTGGCTTTGCCGTCTCCATACGCATTGATGGCAGAGATGGATGAGGTCGAGACTCAAGAATCCGAAGTAGCCATTGTGCAAACCTGAATTGTGAGGGGTGAATCTCAGAGCCAAGCACTGTCACCCTTCACACCCCCGCGGCAAATGGGTTCCTCTGTGTGTATCCTGGTACGTGATATGCAAGTTCTCACAAAATCACTGTTTCCACGTGGCCGGGTACCTGTAGGGTAAAGAACTGGGAGTCTTAGAACGGGAGGAACATTGGTAGCATCATTCTGGGACACAAGATTATGGCACAAGAATGGCACAAGTCTCGAACACGTCTTTGGTTCACACCCCCATGCCTTAGATGGAGATGGATCCCCTCAGATCATGAATCAGCTGGTGCCAGCCAGCAAGATGCACCCGACCAGCGCTGCTGAATCGGATTGCAAGATCTTGGCCAACCAGGACATTGCTCTGTGTTAAAGGGTTGCCGAGGTGCTAGTACATGCACTTTCGGCAACTTACATGTTCTGAAGATCGCCACCATGAAATTATGCAAGGTCTTGTTCTAATAGGTTATGTTTCTAGGTTGCGGTTGCTCGCTTGGCTGCAGTTCTTGCTTCATTTCGACAAGAATGAGGGCATGTTAGGTATGGATATTTTTGTGACAAGACTCGCCTTTGCGAGGATGATGTGGAAGCAATCGCAACTGCACATGTGCTGCGTCATGTACTTTACCCCCACACTCTGCATCTGTTTGGCATTTTGCCTGTGGTGCTTCAAGCAACGGACAATGCGGCCTGGTCTCTTTAGCATTGAATGGGATGCATATTCACTTCACATTGCCTAGCCTCTTCCTGCAGTGGAACAGTGTTCAGGGTCGACCTGCACGATGCATTTAAGCACCGCAATATGCACGTGACTGTCCTGCTGCTCAGAGCCTTAGGTCAACATGCAGCACTCCAATATGCTACTCATGGTTTGCACGCCGGACTGCCTCACAGCCTCTTGCATGGTGAAGTGGATCTTGCAGGCCTGAGAACTTGTGTGCCAGAGGCCCAGCCTCTTAAAGGAATCACGAAGTGTTCTCGACCAGCCTTGATGGCTCTTGCAGGGGATGCGGGACAGTTTGCGGTTTTTCTTCTTTATGTTTTTGATATTTATTGCTTGATATATTATTATTGGTTTTATATTATTGGTTTTTCCATGGTCTCCAGATGAGGCGAGACAGGAGACCCGAGTCAACGAACTAAAGTAAAACAAAGAACGCCAGCAAATGGGCGAGTTGGAAATTGAAGCTGCTGGCTTAGAGATTTCTTGGTGGGAGCCCAGCAAGCAAGAAGCAGGAACACCGATGGAATGCAACACAAGCACATTCGCAAGAACTGCTCAGGGTGCAGGCCAATTGTGCCAATGGACACACTGCACAAAAGCTTACATAAAAATCAGCTGTGAAATGTTGGTTACCATAATGGTAGCAAGTGAGAAGAATGGTAGTACTGGCGATGAGTGTAGCATACAAATTAATGTCAGTAGCGCATAAATCAAGACCGACGGCAACAACCGTGGTATTAACCGCAAGAGGGAGGCCTGCAAGAATATTAGTTGCCATAGTCATTGTACTGAGACAAGCTGAAAGCACGATCGCCGGGATGCCCCAAGTCCACGAGGCCCCAGCTCAGGAGCCCAAAAGCCACTACGAGAACAGCACAGTCAAAACCGGAAAGAATAAGCTGAATGATTAGGATGCCTCTGGCAGGCCTGGCATGCGGCTTCTGCGTGCCGTATTTTGCCCATTCTGGGAGACGAGCAGTTCATCATTCCGACATCGTCGGCGGCCTTTGAAAAGCTTGGCCAGCACCCGGACATCAAGGAATGAATCGGACCAATCTGATCTCCCAAGCAGTTTAGGTGTTTCTTTGGGGCTGGGCGGTGTGCATGGTAGGCCAGATTTGATCCAGAGGACCATCCAAATGCGTCCCAGTACCTCAAGGTTCTTGCGGCCTTGTTCATGCAGATCGCGGTGTACTTCTGGCCAAAGTCTTATTCAGAGTCTGCCTTGGGCTTAAAGGCCAAGCAGGTCGCCCACAGGCTAGAGGAGGAGCGCACGACAAGCTTGAGCCTGCTTCTGGATGCTTTGCTGTGATTGAGCAAGGACATGCTAGTTAAACATGTTGGGTTAGCTTCGGACACCTTTGCACGATATCCTAGTCCTGTCCCAACTCGTGTCATGGCCGTCCATGCTTTTGTTGAAAAGGACCAGAAAACTGAGGCCATGTCATGGTTCACTTCACAACAGTCGATCAAATTGGATGCATCCGACGAGCTTGAGGAGGCTGAAAGGGAAATGGCCAAGGCCAGGGGATAACGTGCGGGCTCCGGGTGTGAGCAGATGGGCCAAAAGATTTAGCCTTTTTCAATTCGGAGATTTGCGAGACCTGTCTTCATACTTATGTGGGACCCTCATCAGTATCCAAGTGACTGCAGAGGATCATGAGACAAGTTCGAATGAGAATCGGGCAGAGCAGGATGAGTGCCCAAACCAGGCGCAGTTGGGCTTGAAAGGCATTGTGGACCTTGCATGGGCTTAGGACTTTGGATATTAGGGATTTTAGGTTTCTGGTGCCGAGACAATGTGTACTGTAGGTGTTTTAGCCATGTCCAGGAACTGAAAGTGAAGCGGGGCTGCATCACTAGTGTATAGAGGCTCCGTCGTTTCAGTTGAGCCGCACCTGGAGGAGCTGCCTACATACGTGGCTGAGGCTCTGCAGGAGGACATGATCGAAGAGATGATCTCCTGAAGCTATGGCCAGGTGGAAGACATATGGACCAAGATTTGCTATGTTTCACCTTATCGTCTGATTGTGGGAGCCACCGGACCGCCAGTGTGTCAGTTCCAGATTTCTGCCTTTGCCACGGCTTGAAAGTGACAGCAGTCTGGGCCACGTTTCTGCATTCTGGGTTAACTCCCTTGCAGACTTTCCACTGCAGCGGAACGTGTAGCTCCTGCGGTGAAAAAGCATCTCAATTACGGTTGGCAGTTTGTTCCCTGCGCCAGATTCATGGTCTGTTGAAGCTTTATTGAAAACCTTACGGTGTGTTGTTCGTCTTGCCATCGCTTAGCGTTGCCCGTCAACCCTGGCCATGCTGGCAAGACGGGAGAATCATGCAGGGACTCGTAGGACAACACACCCTGGAGCTGAGAGAATTAGCTAAAGAGTTGACACACTGGAAGAAGTTGGTATGTACTGACTCTGCGCTTGCAAATGTAGATAGCATCACGTTGCAAGCAAAAGAACAGCGCACCCCCACGGCTCCACAGAGGCAGCCATGGCGCCTACACAGGATTGTCGGCACTTGTTTGCTGCCAGTTTCGAGGGAAGCAGAGTGTTGCCAGCAGCATGTTAGACTGCGGCCTATGTCGGCTCTTTTAATAGCTGTAGTCATAGCATGTGCCATGGTAGCAGACTGATTGTTTCCTGGCAGGAAGAGTTCGATAGTTTGAAAGAAGAGAAGGACAAGATAGAGGACAGGAGCCCGCCAGTGCAGCTCATGCGTGCTAAGGCGCGGAAAGTGAAGCTGTCAGGCCGCCCTGAAGCAGGAGCAGGAGAAGCGCCTTGCAGAGCAGCAAAGGCTCAAGGCGCATGCAGATAGCGTGCGATGGCCTCAAGTTCTGCGATGTGCCTCATGTGCCTCTGCACAGGAGCGTACACGTGAGACATTTCAGAAGCTCAAGGATGATTGCAACGCAAAGGCTGTGCAGCTGCTGGTCCCGAGCATGCCACAACATGTGCTGCAGGTACTGGCACTGAACCAAGAGCTTGAGAAGGCGAAGGCCAATTCCAACTCCGAACTTGCAGTCTTGCAGTTGCACCCCAACTGTATGTTGACCTGATCTCAATCCATCACATAATCAATTCAATCATGCCTCTTAGTGTGGATAGCAACCAAAGCTGTTCATAGCTCTTCAGAATCAAGCCTCCTGCCTCTCCTGGATGATGCTAATGGGCCTGCAGTGGTGTCTATCAGAGCACGCGCCAGGCAGACTCCGCAGGCTCAGCAGAAGCGAGTGCATTACGTGCAGAAGCTTGGCTTATTGGGTAGCTTTTGCGAAGGCCTGGTATTCTTGGCCGGTTTGCTTCAAAAATCCAACAACTTCTGCTGAGAGTCTCCCTTCATGCTGTTTGCAAAGCATATGGCAGCTGCACTTCACATGTGTGCCGCAGTCAGGACTTGGAATCAGCCAAGCTGCAACTATCAGAGGCTCTGTTGGCCAGTGTCTCCTTCAGAAATGATGTCAGAACATGCTCGTGCCAGGTGACCGGTTTGCGTGCGGAGCTGGAGAACCTGAAGGCTGAGCAAAGCATTGCAAGGTTTTGCAAGGTTGAAGGCACATGTTTGTACTCCTGTCTTGCTCCAAGGCCAACTCAACTGAGACACAAGCCGCGTCGCAGCAACTTCAACAGGAAATTGACAGGCTGAAGGCAGAAGTGGCTGAGGCAGGCCTGGTCATCGCCTTTGCAGCTTGTGAAGCTTGAGCACGCACCGTGCGCTTGCTAGGTGCCGGCCCTGAAAGCGCAGCTGGCAGAGGCAGAGGCGCCTTCCTCTTTGTTCCGCTTTACTAGAGCACAACATTTTCGATGCCAGCCCACTCAGGCTACATCATAAAAGATCCAGCCATGCTCGCAAGCAAGGCTCAGCGTGCGTCTGCCATGCAAGATGCAGCGG